CAGTCTTCCCGAGCAGGATTTGGGTGGAGGTTTGGACAGTAAAGGCCATTGTGATGAGACCACAGACGGACAGTGGAGCGAGGGGTCCTTGTTATAACGGGGCAGGAACTTGGCTGCACCACGATCATGCCGTGGTGTTTTGTGGGAGACAGAACCTGGGAGCAATAAAACTGGGCGTTCAGATGAGGAAGTGTCAAAGCGAAGCACAGCAGGAACGAACAGCCTGCTTCCTCTCGGCTTCTACCGTAAACTGCGGCAAGAGAGGGATGGCTCTAAGGGGCAGTCGTTGATCCAAAGGGAAGCGGAACCTAAAGAAAATGCTGGAAAATTCTCAGCCTATCCATATAGGAAAAAATGAGAAAAGCCCACGTGGGAGGGAACACAGAGAACATGCCAAACATGATAAGGAGACCAGTCTGGGGCAGCCAGGGCAGCAGAGCCAGGAGCTGCTCTTCAAGATGGTGGGGAGACCGGCCAGCCACCCAAACACAAGCCCCCACCTGCTCTCCTGGGCCTCTCCTCTGCTCACCTCCTGTTACCGCACACAAGATGCCGACACCAGATCTGCAGGGTTTCCCCACAACCAGCTCTCCACACCTGTGGGGTGTCCTGCACTTTAACTCAGTCTTGACACTGTCTACCTGGAGATGCATCGGGTCCCACAGGGTGACGCTCAGTCCCACCAGCTGTTCCCACCCACTTCAGGTGTCTCCGCAAGCCCAGGTGGTCACCTGCACTTCCGACCGACCAGCTGTAAACCTGAGGTTCCAGAGACCCCAACTCAGGTTGTTAATTGGATAGAACGGCTCACAGACTCAGGGAAACACCTGACATTTACCAGTTTATTAAGGATGCGATGACGGATACGGACAGACAGCCAGGTGAGGAGATGCCCAGGATGAGGGCAGGGAGGGCCCCAAGCGCAGGAGCGTCTGCCACCTTGGAGGTGGGGTGCGCTACCCTCCCAGCGTACAGGTGTGTTCACCCATCTGCAAGGTCCCTGAAGCCCTTGCCCCTGGGAACCCGGGACTTCACGGAGGCTTCCTCCTGTAGACTCAACTATGACCTCCGAATCCAGCCCTTCTCGCCTCCTGAAAGTCCCAAGCTTCCCAGCATGGCTGGTCTTACTGGTGACCAGCCCGCATCCAGGGCCCACCCAGAGCCACTCAGAGAGCAAGAGATGCTCCTCGTGCTCTCATCGCTTAGGGACTCACAAGGGTTTTAGGGTCCCTGTGCCAGGAACTGGGGCAAAGACCAAGTATGTGTATTTGCTGTCAACTCCCACCAGCCAAGACCTATTGTCCAAAGTGATGGAAGAATGACTCCTGAGACAAGGAGAGCCTCAGAGTGGCTCGTGGCATCACAGGCCCAGAGGGCACGGGCCCCGGGGACAGACAGTCTCAAGGCAGGCCCACCGCCTGGTGTGCCTCCCATCATGGCTCTGCCATGCCTGCTGGGCCACGGCAGGCCCTGGTGAAGCTTCTGCCACGCCAGCAAGGCCTGGGAGGTAGCTACCTCCCCCATCCCTCTAGGGACACCAGCAGAAGCCTCAGGGTCCTGGCAGAGAACCAGCACAGATGGCCCCACAGAACTGAGGCGGTGAACCACCTCCACAACCCCAGACTGGAGTTGCCGGTATGCAGTTTCACTGTAGGAGAGCCCAGGCACATGGCGCCAACCCAGGAGAGCCACGGCGTGGGCTGTGCCCAGCACATCGTGGCCAGAGCCGCCCAGAGCACTGGGGCCCAAACCCCACACGGCAGAGGTGGGTCCCTGCCCCAGTGTGTCCGGAAGGCAGGACCTCCACCCCAAAGGACCGAGAGGGCAGAACATTAAGTCAAAGATCACTCTCGCACCTATGGGCTGCTGAGGTCGGCCCTGTGGGTGTTTGCCCTTGCTCAGAACCCTTCCTGTCCTGCTTCCCCACTGGGACGGGAGCGTCTGTCTTACGCCTGCACCACTGTATAGTGGAAGCACAGACCCGGCTTCATCTTGCAGGGTCGCAGCTGGGGAGGAGCTGGCCTCGGACGGACCACTCCTGAGGCTCCCCGCACCTAATTTAGGTGCCACCTAGATGATCGGAAATCGGCTGCACCCTTCCTGTAGCTGCGCGCATCTCCTGTCTGCATGCCTCCCCGTGCTCAGCCGCCCGGTGCCTGTGGTGCTTCAGGAACGTCAGCCACTAACGGCCTAGTGTCAGCTGAGCATGGTCCTCGCGACTCCGTCCTGTTGTGTTTTTGTTATTTCCTGGTAACAACACTACTTGGTCAGAATTTAGGTCTGATCAACTCTATGACACTCAAGGAATACAATGACTGGGGCAGATCTTTTAAGGAGACCGATCTGCAGCAACGTGTCTGGAAGGCGGGTGTGTGGCGATGACTCACCGGCTTCCATGCCTCTTCCACGGGAGTGAGGGGAACCCTGACTATACTCCGTCTGCAGGCCTCCCTGGGAGGCCGTGAGCCCCGGGACGCGGCAGCTGGGTCACCTCCCCTCCTCCAGAGCCTGTCCCTGTCCAGTCAGGAGGTTTGCAGGGGCCAGGAGGTCACAGATGGGGTAGAAGTGTGCGTCAGAGGTGAGCGGGAGAGCGCGTCTGCAGCCTTCTGGCGCGGCCGCCGGCGGGTCCGCCTGCCCGAAACTCCTGCTGACTGCTGACCTGATGCTTCCCACCTCTTCTCCTCTGGACCTACCACAGTCACTAAATCTTTACCCCTAATTAGGTCCCTCATGTTCAACAGTCCCTAACAGGAGTCCTTTCTATAGGACAGGCCAGGGATGTGAAGGCCCTGGGGGCCAGGGTCTGTGGAAGCCAGTGTCACTCTTCAGGGTAGACAACAGCCTTACTCCACTCATCTCGTCCCCGGTCGGTGGGATGCGCAGTTTCCACTCAGAGCCTCGTGAATGGGCTCGTCTAGGGCTGTCACTCCTCAAACGTGTGCCCCTCTGTGGGCTCCCATGCCCTGAACGTGCCCCCTTGCTGAGGGTCTGGCGGCACCCCAAGGCCTGTTATCCTACATGCACCCCATCTTGGCTTTGATTTGCAGCAGCTCTCGTGACAAATGCAGAAAGAAGTGTTTATTCGAGAGGCTAGATGTGACATCTGTGGTCCTGAAAGCATTTAAAAGATTGGAAATAAATATTTCTTTTAAAAAATTTCTCTCTGCTCAGGAGCTTAAAGTTAGCTGACTACTAGAGTCAGTCAGTCCTCTAAAGAACACATAGGGACACTTGTTCCGTTCTCTTTCATTAATGTTTTCACTAACAGCCTCCCACCCAGCCAGTAAGTCTGGTAACTTGTGGCTCTGAGAGATCTGCTTTTCACAGCTGCTGCTATTGCTCTGCGTGTTTTCTAAATCTGCACTGTGGTGAGGATCTTTTTTTCTAACATTTTATGTGGTAAGAACTTCAAACTAGGCCACCTTAACATTTCACTTATTTATTTGTCACTGTATAATTCTGGTAGCCTGTGTTTGAATTCTCACTCTTTAGAATTCTACAGAATCAGATCCATGTAACTTTTACATATACTTACATAAAACATATATATTTATTGAAAAATAATTGATATACAATATTAGTTTTACGTGGGCAACGTAGTGATCAACAATTATATACTTTACGAAATGCTCACCAGGTGGTAAGTGTGGGTACCATCTGTCACCATACCGAGTTATTACACTATTATTGGCTATATTCCCTATGCTGTACATTTCATCCCCATGACTTATTTATTTTATAATCGGCAGTGTGTACCTCTTGATCCCCTTTGACTGTTTTGCCTTTCCCCCAACCCGCTCCCTTATGGCAATGACCAGTTCGTTCTCTGTATTTTGAGCCTATTCCTGTTTTGTAAAAACATCTATTCTAAATATCATATTATAATTCCTTCAGGGAAAATCAAAGGTCGGGGCAATCACTAATTGTTAGAGTAGCAGTTAGACAGACCTGAGCAGGTGGGGAGAACGGAGGCGGCTACGCGGCCTCCAGAGGGTCTCCGCCCAGAGGCCACCTTGTCCCCCTTAGACCAGCCCTGTGTGGCTCAGCACAAACCGATGAGCAGCAGACGGGGTCCCCGGGGCCTCCCCGACCTTAGAGTGCACGCACCTCCGGAAGGCACCCCCCTTCCCTCATGTATCATTCGGGCTGCGGTTCGGGCCCCGCGGCGGTGCCCGGAGACACCCGTGGGAAGGATGACGAGCAGACTCGAGGCTGAAGGGGACGGAACAAGGCGGGTCCAGAGGACAGCGTGAGGATGACAGGAGGGGCGGGGGGAAACCAAGAGGCCCCGTCAGACACATGTGAAGCCCGGCCAGCGGCCGCCCACCCCGGGTCAGTCCCTTTGCTTTGCGGAATGAAGCCCCGCGCGGCTCTAGCTCCCTGTTGGGCCTCTGGGCTGAATTCTTTCCTTCGAGAAGACAGGAGCCAAGAAATTCTACAATCCACCGCCTGTAACACAGTCACTTCTACAGAAGCCCACCGGCACCCTCACCAAGAGAAACATCTATGGCAAAGGACATTGGTGATAATGATTACCCTCAATTTGAAATTTTCTTTTCAAACAAAAGAAAAATAATCCATATAAATATAATTTTCTCTCCCCAGCAAGGTCAACACATTTGTACAAATCTATGGACATACTGTAATTAAATTCTGGGGAAACTTCAGTTTGTCACACCAACTAACTTTTATTTAAAAATAATTATCTTTCAATGATACAAATCTCAAGAGGATCTTATTTAAGACCAGTTCACTAAAAGAAGACAAAGGACTGGCAAGATGAGAATTCATGATTTTGAACCACTCCCTCATACGGGTGTTGGCAGAGCGCCCCCAGCCCTATGCTGGCTCACAGATCGGCCCCTGGGCACACAGCAACCACAGAAAGAGGCGGGCCGCGCCGGAGGGCAGGGGCAGGCTTAACAATGGAGGGGCTGACACAGGAGCCTGTTCCCAGCGCTGCATGGCCAGATCTCTCCTCCCGCCCGCCAGGATCTTACCGATTATGCAGAGGCTTCATCTGGCTTCAGTCCTGTACCATCCAGAGGGTCTCGACACCACTTCACTGTCTCAAGGCTGTGTCCTCGGGGCAGCTTGTAGTGTGGGGAAGGCAGGCAGAACTCACGTTCCAAGGGCGGGGAGGGGTGAGGCACCTCTGACGGCACAGGTCCAGCTCAAGGGTTAACCAGCTGTGGCACCTCCTGATGGCCTCCCTCGACACCCTGGCAGACAAGAAGGTAAGTGACAGGAGGCAGCAGAAAATAATTATTGTCACATATCCTCATTTCCTGTTTTACTGACCATTTGGAAAACAGAGGGCCCAGAGCTCTCTGATTACAAGGGGTCAGAGAATACAGTCAAAAAGATGGAATCCCCAAGTCATTCCACAGGATAAAAATGCCAGTGGCTCTCCGAACTACGGATCTTTCAGTGCAGTTAGAGGGATGCTCCATAACTGCACTGACGGCTGCAGGGACAGTACTGCAGAGTGCTGAGACGACCCTGGCCTGGCAGACTATCTGGGTACGAATCCACTTTCCGTGCTCATGACCCTGAGCAGCTCAGCAAGCCCCTCTGCGTCTTAGTCACCGTGTCTGTAACCGTGAGACAGGGACCATGGGATTAGGCAGAGTAGGGTGAGGGCCTCTGGAGAAAAAGCCGAGCAAGATAATTCAGTCAGAACAATGTAACAATATGCAAAGAAGTCCCTGTCAAAACTCTGTGTTAAGCATTATGCAAAGTCAGAGTCACACTAATTCTCTAGGGTAAAGATTTGTATACATGACAAGGAATATAGACATTCTTCAGTGAAATCGCTTAAAGCTCAAAAGGCCAGGAGCAACTTGGCCTGGAATGTTTGAGTGTTCTGCAGATAAAGAAGGGTATCTCAGCACAAACCATCACTTTATTCTATCAATTACATCGTGACAATGTAAAATTTACCTTATCCTGCTAAAAGGCCCAGTTTATTTTAATTTTAACTACGTGCTATTTTCCCTTCTCTACTAAAAGTAGTCTTTTGGTAAGCAATCTCAACTATAAACATCCCAAGCAAACAGACAACAGCCCAGCCCACCTTGAGGGCAGGGCAGGTGGTCTTACAAGTCTGCACTCCTAACTTCACCCTGATTCCTGAAAATTCTCAACCACGCATAAAACCCCTAGACAATGAGCCAACCACGGGCTCTCTCGTCCCCTCCTGGCGTGAGCCGGGAGCCCTGTCCTCTCACTCTATCTCTAAATAAAAGCCTGTCCCTTGCTCTCCTACCTTGAGCGTTTGTGAAGCTCACTCTTCGGCTTCGTGAACAAGAACCCCGGCATCAAACGGAGACAACAATCCTTGAGGTAACTACTGTTTCACGAGGATTAAATGAGTCAGTATGTCTAAGGCCCGAAGAACAGCGCTCTTGCACAGCTAATGCCGAGGCTGGGAGGGTGAAGCGGCAGAAAGTCCGAGGTCCCTGGCTGCCACGGGAGGAATGGTGGCAGAGGTGGGCAGTGGGGCTGAGACTCACAAACCAGTTGGGATAGGAACTGGCTGGAACTAGACTAAACTAGGATGGTATGCAATTTGACCAGGAACAGACCTCTAACTTCATTAAAATCTCATAGTGAAAATCACAGCCCTCAGCCACAACAGTTTACATTGTCAAGATGACCTCCCAAAGAGACCTAATAAGGAAGAGACCCCCTCTTCCAAGAATCTTTCCCTAGGAACTGTGACTATTCCACCCCCTGCTTTACATACTCATTTACAGTGAAGGCACTAACGAGGCGCCAGGAGAGGGCTGCTCTGCCTATGGGGCGGTCCATTCTGCTTTGCTCTATAATCTGTACCTTCCACCTCTTCACGAATTGGCTTCATGCCGCACCTGGAGTGCATTTGATTTCTGGCCTGTGTGCAGCCATGAACCCTCCACTGCCATGCAGGCCCAAGGGCTGGGGCCTCCCATGTTCTCCTGTAACATTACTGTATTGTTATGTACCAACCCTGGAACACTAAGTTGCACTAAATTCTGCCAAAAATTGCTATTCCTGTGGCTATATAAATAAAACAATGATAAATTAAAACACTTACCACTCATTACTTTGTTTCAAGATGGTGGACATTGACACCCTGAAGAAGTATTCCAGATTTGGTCAAACCTATCTGTTCTTTCAAAATCAGTGTGGAATAAATAAGCAAACAGAATGAAAGACATTAACTGTCAAATGTTGAATTAAAATAAAAGTTTCACTCACATTCTATCAAAAATGATGACAAAATCATCTGGACTATTCAGACCAAAGTTGTAGTTATGAACTTATAATTACGCATAGTAAGTGGAGTTTTTATAGGTGTCATTTGCCAACTGGGTACAATTCAACTGAAGTATATCAATAATACATCCTCCAGTTAACATATCATATTGAAAACATCCACATTCCTCCACTCCTTGTGAAGCATCACTAAAACAAAATTATAGAGTGTAAAACGGAGTAGGACATAAACCCACAAGACAAAGAGAACAGGAGGAGAGAAAACATAAAAATGTCCACGAGTTCAGTAACCATGTGCTGAGTTGTCTCCCTCCAAAAGATGCATTGACTGTGACCTTATCTGGAAATAGGGTCTATGTCGGAGTGATCAGGATAAAATGAGGTCAGCGAATTGGAGTGGGCCCTCAGGTGTCCTTACAAAGAGAGGAAAATTTAGACACAAACAGTTGCACAGGGAGAAGACCTCGCGATGAGAGGCAGAGACTGGGGCGATGCATGTATGGGACAAGGACAGCTAAGGGCGGCCAGCAGGTGCCAGAGCTCAGAGAGGTGGGCCCTCAACGCCCCAGAAGGGGCCCCTGTGACTCCGAGAGACTTAACTTTCCATTGCTTTAAGCCACCCAGGTTGTGGTATTCTGTTATGATAGCCCTAGGAAACGGACGCAGCGGTACAGATGGGCTAGTGAAAACTCACTCAGCCCAGAGCAAACTGAGCCCCTGAGTGTCGAGTGTGTTCAAAGAAAGACAAGGCCGGGAAGCAGCCTGGTCACAAGTTGCAGAACCTCACAAAGGCTCAGGAATTGGGAACACCATACATTCCAGATGGGGCGAGATGAAAAGAGGTTACAGGCCTGGAAACACTAGATCCCTAGACTGCCTCCTCCATCTGACGAGGCCAGGGGAACGTGCTTATCCTCCAGTCCCGGCCTGGCACCTGCGGAATTCTTTTTGGAGATACTGAACGCGAAGGCCCATGCAACCAGGCGGTCTTACAAGTCTGCACTCCTAACTTCACTCCTGACGGCAAGGGCGCCATGACAGAACAGTGTTTAAGGAGTGTGAGACCAGACTTAGCCTCCCAGCCTCCCTTCCCCGCTAGGCTCCGAGAAAGCAGTGCCCAAAGCAAGGAACCAGAGGCTCACCCTTTGGAAGAAACAGCTGGGCTCTTGCCCCATCGTCCTATGCCGTAGGCAGCAACTGACCCCTGGTCCCAACCACCGTTTTGGAGTATCACCCTTATTCAGGTATTGCCAGCAAGGCCCACACCGCTGGGAACACCTCTGGCACAGAATAGAGACCAAAGATAAACAACTGAAAAAAATCTCAAAAGAATCAACATCCACGCAGGGTTTGTTAATTTTAAAAATAGAGCTGCCGGTTATTTTACCAGCAAAAAGGGTTTACTTGGGACCAGCAGAGAACTGCAATTCTGCACAAGGTATGGCAGAACGACAAGCACGTGGGAGAACAAAGGCGAGAAGGCTTTCGGAGAGACTGGGGAAGGTTGGGGTTGTTCTAACCAGAAAGCCATTGGAGGAAACTGGGAGGCCCACCTGTCCTGGCTGCTCATTGGCTGAGTTGTGAGCCTCTCTTGCGTGAACTGTTGCCAGGCCCTAAGGGGATGAGCTGGGGAACAGAAACTCTTCCCTTCTCCTACTGGGTGGGAAAGAGGCAAAAATAGTGCGGGTTGTAAGTCGCCCTTCTCTCCTGGGGGGTCTGCAATGGGCCCGGAGGGTGGACGCGAAAGCGCCCCCTGCAGGCCTCCCGCACCACGTCGGCCATGCTTCCTTCTCTCAATTTTCACAGGTTACATAGGAAGCACTTTTAAAATAAAATCCCATCATTTGTCTTGAGAGACAAGAGGAGCTACCCGCATGAAAAAAGAACACGATGTTATAAAAAGAGCAGAGATTAAAAAGAGCACTTAGAAATTAAAGTATAATAAATGAATGAAGATGATTTGAAAGAATATTTGCCAAATTGAGAAAATTAGAAAGTAGAACAAAAAGACACAGAAAATTGGGCAGGCAAGAAAACCACCAGTCAAGAAGGCCCAACATCTGGACAATGAATTTCAGAAAAAGAGGAGAGACCACGAGGGAGGGGATGGTAGAGAGGGGTATCAACGACGCAATCCCGGCAGCTCGAGACCCAGGGCGGAAGACGGCCCCGGGAACACGGCCGCCCGCACCGCCCGCAGTGAAGGCGCGCTCAGCGACGTCCGGGGGGCTAGGGGGCTGCGGGGGAGCGCCGGCCCCTCCGAGGAGGCAGGAAGCGTGGGGCGGCTTCCCTACGACGGGCCTGGGAGCCGGCACAGCAGGCGGCCGGCGCCCCGACAGTCCGGCCAAGGCGCCCGCAGGGGACCCGCTCAGGGACGGGCAGGGCGAACGCGCGACGCCCGGGGACAGCGCCGCGCAGATCGCCCGCCCGCCACGCGAGGGACCGCGGGCGGTACGCTCCACAGGGAGGGTTGAAGGGTGACGGACGCTCGGGGCAGACGCCGCGGCCCGGGAGCAGGCGCAGGACGCTCGGGCGCGGTGAGACCTGGCAGGAGACTGCGCCCTGCAACCCAAGGCGGGAGGCGCCGGGGACGCTGGAAGACGCGGGAAGCGCGCGCAGCAAGGCGGGCGAACTAGCCGCGCGAGAGGACGGACGGACGGGCTCTGGGACGCGGCGCCCACGGCCCGGCGCGCTCCCGCCCCCGCCCCCTCTGCCCCACCGGTCCGCTTCCCCGGCCCCGCCCATCACCCCGCGGCCCCGGTGACGGAGTCGGAGGGGCGGGGAGGAGAGACCAGTACTCCGCAAATCAACCTGGGAGACGCAGCGCGGGCTGGGGCCAGGACGCACCCAGCGTGCCGCCTCCCGCCGCGGGCCCCAGAGTAGAGGGCGGGGCCACCGTGTCGGGAGGGGTGTGGCCACGGTAAGGGGCGGGGCTCTAGGGGGCGGGGCCATGGTGACGGAAGGGGCGGGGTCTCCCCCATAACAGGCGCTCTCGGGCGGGTTGGGTCTCCGCTGGCGGCTCTTGACGCCGGAAGCAGGCGGCGAGCTCGGACCCGCGGGTGGGCGGTGCGGCATGGCGGGCTGCGGCGGGCGGCGCAGGCCCGGCGGGCAGGGGCAGCAGGTACTGCGGCGGAGGCCGTGCGGGACCCGGGGCGCTGCGTGCGGCGTGCGGGCTCACGCGTCCCCCGCCGGGGCCCGGCTCGCGCCGGCCGGGGAAACAAGCCGGGAGCACAACCCCCGCGGCGGTACCGCGCGGCGGGCCGGGTGCTGAGATCCGAGGGCGAACAGGCCCCAGGGTGTCCGGGAAGGTTCGGGGCCGCCCCGGTCGGAGCTGCTGCTTGGCGGCGAAGGGAAGCAGGGGGTAGGAAGTGAGTGTGCGGGATGCTTGGGCCCCGCGGGGAGCTGGGCCTGGCTGGGGCCCGGGAGACGCGGGAGGAGGGGGGACCCGACCACAGAGGCACCGACGGGGGGGAATCGGAATGTGCATTTTCTCGTGCTTTTATAAGGTTTCTGGAACCCTGTAGGCACTGCGGTAGCGATGCGGAGAGTCGGGCGGGAAAGCAGCGGCACTGAGGGACTTGGAGGGTTTTTCTGGCCGTATGCAGACTGGGGAGGGTGAGAGCTTTGGAGGGCTTCGTGCTCTGGCCGTTCTTTATGTCGGGTCATGCTTTCTGGGAACACGAGCGTAGAAAGTGCGGCCTCTGGAGGGGACAGCTGTCCCTCAACCAGTCCGCAGTGGGGCCGAGCTGAAGAAACCCTCCTCCCTCTGAAGCTGTAGTGAACTACTTAGACCGAGTGAAGGCATTGGAAATGAAATGCCAGCGCGGCGATCCGTGAACACTGAAGCCAGCAGTAGTGCCTTATGTGCTAGAACCGTTCTGTGTAATTTCACGATCACATTCCGCACAGCAGCCCGGTGGTACGGGCACGACACGTCTACGCCCTTTTCGTAGATGAGCAGACAAGGCGCGAAGAGGTCAAGTACTCCCCCAAGGTAACAGCTGGGAATCGGAGGTCAGGAGCCAGTCCAGGCGACCGGACCACATGCAAAACTGCCTTTCCAGGAGGTAGATTATAAGGCTTTCTTCCTGACATCTTAAATTTGGGCCAGTCTCTGAATCTAAGCAAAGATGGGAGCGGAAGGGAGGTAGTCAGGACTCGGTCTGTACCTCCTGCCCTCTGCTTGGAATTAGAGAAGCTCCACCAAGTGGTCGGATCTGTGCCCAGGAGCCAGCCCACCTGGGTTTAAATCCCTGATGTTCCCGTTCTAGTTGGGGACCGAGAGGAGTTAGTTCAGTTTCCTCGTCTGTAAAATGTGGGTAGTGGTGTCTAGATCCCCTGTAGTTGCGAGAATTAAATTAGTTACACCATAGAAAGTGCTTAGAACAGTGACCGGGCACATAGTAAGTGCACAGCCAGTGTTGGCACTTACTGTTCCTGCTGTTTGCTGTTATTACTGACATCCATTTTTGGATCTATATTTCAACAACCTTTTCCAGATTTTTTATGGCCTCAGGCATGCTGTAATCCTCGGCATAATGAATTTACCGTCGGTGTCTGCGTGGTCCTCTTTTCCGTACGTGTTAACAGTACGACAAGCACCTGGGAGCCCGGTGCCCACGTGAGGACCGAAGCCCTGAGGGTAGCGCTGCACGTGTTCCTCACCTGTCCTCCTGCCGGGCTTCCTGCAGCTACCATCCTGAATTTTGTTTTCTCCTGCTGTCTTGTTACAGCTTTATCACCTAGGAGGGCCTGCCCAAACAATATTTGTTTTTTACCTTCGTAAAAGGGCTGTCGTGCTGCACATAATCTTCAAGGACTTTCTCCTCATTCATCATTATACTGAGACGTGCATATTGCTGTGTGTGGCTTTCCTGCTCACTAAGTGTAACAGTCCACTTTGTGAAAATCCTGTAACTTCCCGTTCTGCCAGTAGATGTTTTCATTTGTGGTTTTCTGCTAGTAGAAACAGCATTTATGAAGAACTCTCTGTGTGTGTCATCTCGTTGGTAAATTGTGTAGGCTTTGAGTGACACAGAGTAACATCAATAAACTGGAGCTTCCTGGAGAAACAGAGGAATAGAAATATGAGAAACATCTAGATTAGGATTTTTCAACCCCGGCCCTGGGGACTTGGGGGCCAGAGCTGTTTGTCAAGGGGGTCTGTCGCATGCAATGTCCCTGGCATCCGCCTCACTAATGCCAGTAGTGCCCGCCCCAGATTTGTGACAAAAAGGTCCCCAACATCACTGAACGTGTCCCCTGGGGTGCAGAACTGCTCCTGTTGTAGGCGGAAAGAAGGAATCAAGAGGCAGGAACTTCATCCAGAAAGAAAGGATCTGGGTTCCTAGAAAGAAAAGCAGATTGCTGCTTACACAACTGGAGATAAGTAAGCCCCAGCTAAGCACTTATCGTTGGAGAAACTTACCAAGTACCTCGGAGGCATTGTGGAACCTAGTGTACTTAGGTCATGAGCCTGTACTGCAGAGACTGCTCGAAGTAAGTTTTGTGACCTAGTCCTGGCATTAAGGATCCTTTTCTGAAGTGATGGTTTTAACTGGCAAATGCTCTTGTATCCAGTAATTTCTGACAGTTTGCTTCTGGTTCTGTCACACAGTCTGTTTAAACAAAGGGTGTGATGACACCCTGCTTACCAAGTAAGGCAAAAATTCACCTTTTCCTTATTCCTCTTCTGCTCTTTTACCTCATCTACTTTTTGTTTGTTTTCTGTGTTTCTGTTATCTTAGAGAAATATATGTAAAGACTTGCTGTGGGGGTCCATCTTGACTATGTATTATAAACTGATTTTTTCCTTTTTTCTTTGCCCAAAACAGTCCCCAGATTTTACTCAGAAATACTATTTACACAGTTTTAAAGCAACTCTCATAGAGTTGGGTAAACAAAAATGAGCAATATTGTTAAGCAAGGAAAATTATTGGAATTACTTTCAGAGACACAGTTTTATGTGCCAATTTTCAGTGTGGAAAAACAGGTGATGTGAAGAAGAGTAAATCCTGTAAAGCTGACGTCCCCACTGAGCTTCGAAAAGAAGTAGAAAGTCATTATAAGCTCTCAATGCCGGAAGATTTCTATCACTTCTGGAAGTTCTGTGAGGAGCTTGATCCTGAAAAGCCAGCAGGTGAGTCACTACAGAATCATTCTGCTGCTACCAATGGAAAAGACAGTAGGAAATGGGACCAAGGATCTAAGCAGTCATGGAAAGGAACTCTCAAAGATGTTTCTAGTAAGGATTACATAAAGTGACGCTCTAGTGATATGCCGCTGTCGCCTGTTTATGGGCAAAAGTAAACTGTTGAAATGTTCTACCGTGAGGTGGAGAAGCAGTCCCTTTACGCTATAGAAAACTATGAATTGGGCCATATATCAGAACACTTAGGCTGTGCAGTGACTCCTCCGAACAGCATGCCCTCCCTTTAAACTTATATATATATATATACACGTCTGCTCACAGAGGGGGAAGGTCGTCAGCCCTGTGCACCAGACCGCTGACCTTGTCATCTCCAGTGAGTGAGAGGGGTGGTTTAAGGGCCTTGTCACCGTAAGAACTAGTGTGTGCTGCCCTGGACTCCAGCCCAGCTGAAGCATCGCCTCCCAGGAAACTGTCTCCATGCCTTTGTTCATGTTTCCTCTTCCAAAGATGTTCTTCCTCTCCGCCCACCTCACATATCCAGGTCCTGCCTGGAAGGTGTCCCTCCCTCGTAGAGGAGCAGCGGGGACCCGGCTGATGCTGTGAAAGCGAACAGACTTCATGTCTGTGTGGTTCTGTTCAACACTCTCCCTCTGACCTGCGCGTCTGCCAGGATCAGGGCTGGCCAAGGGGATTGCCAAGGACGCGAGGGAATGGAGAGGGCCATCCGCTGGGGTAGAGCGAAGGGAAAAAGATGTTCTCTGTAAATGCACTTTTTTGTTAAGTGTTTACCTTGATGCATATATGTGCCCCTTGGTCCGGGTGTGCTGTGGGTGCTCCAGGCCAACGGCAGCACGCTCACGAGACAAGGTGGGCGTGTGCGGCCCCAGGATGCCCACAGGAGTATGCACGGTCTTGCTTTGGCCAAACTAAGACACAGTGGGAATGTTTAACATATAGTCAGTCATATATTTAAGAGGAAATCCCGCATGTAAGTGCCACCTTTTCATTGATTTCCATTGAGTGTTTATAACATCATGTAACTAATGGTTTTTTTCTCCTTTGAAGCTTTTTAAAGACAATTGCTTAGAAATAGTTTACAAATGAAAGGCATTGTTTACTATCTGCCTCCAGAAAGCCATTGTCTAAATAAACTAATTTCATTTATAGATTCACTTTCCACAAGCGTTGGACTCAGATTAGTGGGTCCTTATGATATCCTTGCCGGAAAACATAAAATGAAGAAAAGCTCAGCAAGCCTGAATTTTAACCTTCACTGGAGATTTTACTACGACCCTCCTGAGTTCCAGACCATCATTGTTGGAGACAATAGAACCCAGTTCCACATGGGGTATTTCAGGTACGGGACCTTCTCTCCTCTGAAGTACAGCTCCCGTCCTCCTGACGCCCACAGGGAGACTCAGGGCCGCCCAGGCGAAGGGCGCACGCCCCTCACCGGGGCCCTAGCTGGCCGCCCTTCCTGCTGGGCAGCTCCGTCTCCCTGGGGACGGGTGAACTCTTTGGGTCCCATCTCACTGGCTTTTCCCCCGTGCATTTTTCTCTTTGGGTTCAGAAGTGCTCTTTCAGCCCAAGAAAGATGTTTTCGAGCTGCCCCTGTGACTTGTCAGCCCTACTGTTTATCTGGGTGGCCCTCTGCAGGCCACTAGTGGCTGTGACTTTCCTTGACACGGTTTCCTCTCATAAAAGTGAGGATAATCGTACATACCTAATGGGAATATTAAGAGCATTAAATGGATACATGTAAAATACTGAGAATGTTAAGAAATAGAAGTAGGTTAAGGGAACAAAACAGCGTGTCCACTGGTATGGGTAGAGGTGCTGTCATTTAAAGTGGGGACCGGCCGTAGGTGACAGGAAGCAGGGGACTGGGGCCGGGGGCATGTGCAGTCGGGGGAACGCGTGCAGGGCCGGGAGCTGAGCGCCGTGGAATCCGCTGCCTTTAGGACGTCGGCTGAGTCACTTCACCTCTGTACGGGTTTCCTCAGTTTGCAAATAAAGGGATTTGGTTATGTGTGTAGATGGGACCCCTTCACCTCTTCTGTGTCCTAATCCTGTCCTGTTGCTTTTTTTGTTTTTGCCTTTTTTCTTTTTTTCACAGACTAAAATTCAGGCTAAGATGTCCGTGTATGATTTTACCTACTTCACTTGACAGGCCTTCTTCCCTTGTTCTTTGTATTTAGGTATAATAGTAACTGGGTCCTAAAAATCTTAATTTTAGAACCTGTTATATAAGTTAGATTGATCGTGGATATTCCTAAGAAACTTAAGTTTCAACATGGCAAATTCGTTGCAGCTTTTTAAAAACATTCAGATATAGATCGTTGTTGACTTGAACTTCTGGTTGCCTGTCAGTAAAAATTTAGCTGCCCGTTCCATGATTTATTTCATCTTTGGCTTAAACAGGGATTCTCCTGATGAACTTCCTGTGTGTGTCGGTACAAATGAAGCAAAGAAAAGTTGTGTAATTGTTCAAAATGGAGAGAATGTGTTTGCTGCAGTCAAGTAAGAAAACATTCTATCTCAATCCCTCCTATTTATAATACTTCTATTTTGTACTGTATCAGTCCATCACTAAGGGGAATTGTAGTAACCCCCAAATTTTATCTATGAGATCATCTGACTTTTGCAGATAATTGTACACTTTTGCTATTTTTCACCAAAAAATATACCTTTTATATAAATGCTTTAATGAAAGTATTACTGAATATTTCCTTCATTTATCCAGTGGCAAAGCAAAAGATTTTTTTAGCCCTCTTCATTAACACCATCGTTAAGAGTTCATTAAGAACCTGCGATCTGCTGCAGTGAAGCAGGTGCTCGTAAGGCCCTGGGAGGGCTGCCGGGCCTCCGGGAAGGCCAGCTGTGTGGCAGAACTGGCCACCCCCAGAGAGCTGGGAAAGCGTGGACTGCTGCACGAGAAGCCTCAGGACCACACGTCTGCGATGTGATGTGTGCAGTGAAATGGGTGCCCTGCCCTCTGCCCCTCAGCCCCCAAGCTAGGGCCTGGGCACAGATCTTGGGCAGCAGGTGTCCCTGGTAGGGAGGCAGCTGCACGGCCTCCACCTGGTGTGTCTCCTCCCGTCGGGTTTCAGTGAGGTGCTTGAGAGAAGCGAGTCCCGTGTGGGGCCAGAAGCGCAGAGGGGAAGTGCAGCATGCTGCCGCGTGGAAGGCCAGTCCACGCTCTCCCAGCCACGGGCCCGACGCAGAGCCCCTTGGCAGCAGCTGTGCGGCGCACACTGTAGCAGATGGGGAATGCGGCCTTCACCACCTTGGGTGTAATAAGAGGTCCCATTTCCTGCGGCCTCTCCTGGTACCCTGCTTAAAAGACTTACTCCTTGCAATTTAGTAGCGTATGTTTGCAGAAGGCAGGACTCAAACTGATGTCAACCAGTGTATCTAATGGGCAGTGACACAGGAGGTGCCCAGACGGCCCTTCTGCTCTTCTGATTGGTACTGTGCTAAGTGAACATTTATGCCCTATCTGAAGAAATTCTGGACAGTTACACAAATATGTATGTATATTATAGGTTATTTATAAAAACAAAAAATTGGTAGAAAGGGAAAATCAAGTAAGTATAGAATGTCCATACACTGTAATACCAGGATATTGATTTGTTGATTTGGAAAGATGTTTGATACAGTATGTAAAGAGGTCAAATAATAGAATAGGGTAGAATGATTCCATTTTCAAATTATCTAATACAGGAAAAAATCTAGATATACTCAGTTTTTAAGTACGTATCTTCAGATAGCAAAATTAGGAATGATTATTTTTTTTCTAAAACAATTGTAGCAACAGCTGTGACCTCACAGACCTCCTAAGGTCTTGGGGACCCCTGGGGGTCCACTGGCCACTCTGTAACTGCTGTAGTTTGTGGCTTCAGGCCGGACTAGACACAGAACCTGCTGGTGGGAAGTCCTCCCTCCGACACCACGGGGTCCCCACCAGGACCCCACTTCACCACATCCAGAGCGGCACCTAGGAACACTTTCCAAATACGTGTTCCAGGAACATGTAAGCGTAGCCCAAAACGATACTTCTATAGCTTTAATTCTTGAGTGTGGAAAACTCACTGCAAGTAAACATTTTAAGTGAATGGACACTCATTTTGATGCATGCTTAATGAATGACTGCTTTGTGCAGAGCCCAAGGCTAACTGAAGTGTGTGGTGCATAGTAAAGGGTGCCAGCGGGCCCTCCGGCCCCCGGTCAGCCTGTTCCAGCTCTGCCCCTCCTGCCCGCCGCCCCGCATCCTGTGCCACCCTGTCTCACTGTGTTGGGTCGTAGGCTTCCTGCCATAAGCAATGGTTCTCAAACACTAGATTGCGGTAGAGTACTTCTGACTAGTGACCTGGGTGGTTCCAGTATCGGGTCACACGTGCTGTGCCAGAGAAGTGAGGGCGGTGGGACTGCTCCACCCCGGCCCGCCGGCCAGCTCCTCGTGCGGTTAAGGTGGATGTGTTCCTGGCTGGGCTGCCGGGTGGGCTTGGGGCTGTGAGTAGAGGATGGCGATGGCAGTGGTGGCTGGGTCTGTGGCACTTTAATTGCTAATACCCATGCTACGAACCTGCCAAGTCGGCTCCTCTGTGCTCGTCTCCAGGTTGTAAATGGAAGGGCAGCGCCCGCTCTGAGCACCTACGGTGCCCGGCCCGGAGCAGACTGCCCTGTCCTGGAGAGGGGCGCCCCCTGGGAGTCCGGTGGTGGCCGCCCAGGAAGGGATCAGCTTGTGTGCCTGGCTGCCTCTGGTGCAGCTAGTGAAGACCTTGCCCTGCTCACAGTAAACCACAAGGGTATTTCTGTAACTGGTATTTGTGTTTGTTCACATACCTTGAAATCACTTAGGATTGTGACTCTAAACTTAAAAATAGCTTTGCTTTCTGTTCACATTCTCTTAACTTCATCTTAACACAGATCTGAAAGTAACGTTTCTTAAACCTGTTGGCCTTAAGTATTATTTGTTTTCTATGGCTCTGTCTTAAAAACGCTTTTTGGTGTCTACATACTGTTCTCTTCTGTTTTGCCATACTTCTCCAAACCAGTACGTCCTATCTTAGTACCAAGTACATAATTAAAAACCTTGGCTATGTCCCAGCTTTTTGAATATCCCCTTTGTCGTTACAGTAGACATTAGAGAGATGATACAGACAGAATCGTGTTTGCTGTTTTGTGACTGGCAGCTTTTGGTTAATACTGCTTTTCTCTTGTCTGAAGAAATGTCAGCGATTTGGCGAGAACTGTCGGTGGTTGCCTGGAGACCTCCTCTCGCCTGGGATTCGATGTCTTCAGCCCAGTCCGTGTGCTTAGTTGAGCGGCCTGCCTAATAATGAGAGCTCTTACTTCCGTTTCAGATTATTTCTGATGAAAAAACTTAAAGAGGTAACAGACAGGAAGAAAACGAGTCTCTTGAAAGACCTAGATCACAGACTCACAGCGGCAGCCGGCAGCCTGGGCTTTGCCCTGGAGCAGCGGACCGCGAGGATGGCACAGAGGGACAGGAAGGTAGGGGCGAGGCCTGTCTGTCTCCGGCCAGTCTGCCGTCCAGCGGGGTCTTCCTCTCGGCCCTCCCCGGGTGGGTTTTGCCCTGCTCCCCCACCCTGTACTCTGCAGGGGCCTCCACGGCTGTCCAGGGCCCGCCTGGCCGGGTTTGGGGCGGCTCTCTCAGGGCAGCGCACAGCTGGGCACAAGGCACGGTGCCGATGCCACGGGGGTCACGTCACGTACACCGGTATTTCCCGCTCTGTTCGTTTACCTGCTGCTCATTTCCTAAGATTGAGGAAGGCAGCTTGGTATGTGACGTCCACTTCAACTTCTTTGACTGGTGGCGGTTTGCTGACCAGCGCAAGATGTTCGCGGGGGGATCAGGATCGGGTGCCAGCCTCGGAGCAGTGCCCTTCCGGAGGCGGCATGGGGGCAGACCCGTCATTTGCTCCGGTGAACGTGGGTCCGCAGCCCTCTCCCCCTCATGTCTGCGTCTCTGCTTATGCCTGCAGCCTGAGTGTGGTGTTGTGAACAGCAAATACTTCTGGATTTGGGATCCCTTTGGTTTTTCTCTTAAAATTCCAGGGAAGTTAACATACGGGCTGAAAGAATTCTGCTTTAGGGAAAATTAGCAACCTACAGGGGTGTGTTGCACAAGCTCTGGGAGGAAGGACATTGGTCGCTGAATGTGGCCCTGGTCGTCCCGCCCTGCCCTCCCCTGCCACGTCCACGGCGCTGCTTCTAAACACTCAGGCCAAAGGCAGGACTAGTCGTTCCCCGCCAGCCCGGGTGCCCTCGCTACTGGACGTCCTGCTTCAGCCCCTCCTCTCCCTGCCTCCCCTGCAAGACGCTCCGCTAGGTCAGAGTCGCTCACTGGGCACTGGCCATTCTCTGTCTGTGGGTCTCAAGGCCAGTAGTTCCTCAGAGTGCGCTCTGGAATGAAACTCATTGCAGTGGGGCATATTTTACCTCGATTTTTGTGGCCATTTTACATTTCTGTGGCTGGTTTTCATAGGGAGCCTCTCCCACCTTGAGCAGAAGGCAGCATTTCTCACCTCTTCCTGTGTGTTCCCGGCTCACTCTGACCCAAGACAGTGTCTCCTGCAGACAGCGTCTGTCAGCACAGCCCCCCTTCAGAGCTCTACTTCCCTCCATTGGCCATGATTTACTGCAGATGACATGTCCCAGTTCTTCCCTGTGACTGTAAATAGATACGATTGGGCTTTAAAATTATGGGTGTGTCTGTCCTGGCCCTGCCCCAAGAGGTTTCTTTGTAGTATTTGTTCTTTTTGCAGAAATAGTCAGTAAAAACATAAAAAAAAACTTAAAGACAACCATGATTTTGCCCTCACAGAGATGTGTTCGTGATTCTGTTTCAGATCCTTTGCTATTATGTTTGTCATTTTACTGTTGTGAGAACTTCATTTAATTCATCTTTTTCTAGTCCTGAAAAACTGTTTCACTAGCATATGTGAGTTAGTGACTTTGTCCTTGTGTATGAGCATAGTACTTCCGTTTCTGGCGTAACCGAGCACCACACAGCCCACCGGAAACCAGCGTGTTTGTGCCGACCACGTGGAGTGCTCGGGAATGCAGAGTCCCTACAGTTACCACTCGGCCAGCCAGCAAATCGGCCACGTAGGCATTATCCTGCTCTGTGGATGGGTAAACCGAGGTTTGCAGAGACTGTTCCTTGTCCAAATCGTAAGGGGTAGATCTGAGATTTGAGTTCACACTTTTTTTACTTAGCATTCTTTCCACACCTTCCCACTAACTGGCTCTGCCTGCCAATTTACTTTTTTATACCCAGACTGCATATTTAAAATGAACATTTACTTAATGTTGCTGTAAAATGAGGCACATCATTCCGTCTGCCTGACTGATGCCTCTGAACATCACCAACCCTTGGGCAGGGTCTTCCTAAATCTGTAACCCTACTTTTCATAATAAAATCAGGATTCTGATGATCTCATGTTTTGCTAACAATTGATACCTCAATTAGTATAGTTAATCATATGTGAAAAATGTGAAAATACCTACATACCATGGATTTTGCTGTGGGTCAGTCAGCCTGTGTGGGGAGAAGTCAGAAACTGTATTGTTCTTTTCTTTTTCTTTATCGATACTATTTTATGACCTACTTTTTATACTTCAGAATATATTATGGTTATCACCTAATATTGCTAAATTGAAGATCTACCTCAGGGTTTTGAATGGCAGCAGAGCAGTGTGCTTATGTTCCAAGTGTGGTTGTTTAAGACTTTTCACAAATAAACAACCCTGCCATTAACAACCTTTTGTACCTTTATTTGCATTTACTTGATTATTTCCTTAGAAGAAATTCCTTGGTGTAGTACTGCCAGGTTGAAAGTGGTTTTGTGCGTGTGTTATTTTCTCTGCTTTTCTTTCATTCTGCAGGGTCTTACTTCTTCACAGAACTGCCCTGTGTGAGTTACTAGTTTGCAGGCCCCACCACAGGGTGCCTGTGTCCTGCCCCAGGTGTTACCAGCCCCTTCAGTCTTGTCCACTCTGAGTATAAGGTGGGGTGTCACTGTTTGAATTGGAATTTCTTGGATGATAAAGGACTTGGGTTTCCATGTATCTGCTGGCCATATGTGTATGGCCAGAACTTTCATATTTTTCTTTCAGGGTTAGAATTAGTCCTTTCTTGGCCTTATGTGTATGGCCAGAACTTTCATATTTTTCTTTCAGGGTTAGAATTAGTCTTTTCTTACTTGTGCTTCAATTTAGATGTTAGTCTGTTCCTTTATTTAAGACTCCTTTGTAGTTTAAAGATATTGGTCTTTATTGTGTTGTGACATGGATACATTACAGATGTTTCCCATCAGCTAGTTTGTCCTGTTCGCTTTATGTAGTCGAATGTCTAAGTCTTTTCCTTTTCCGACCCAAAATCATTTTAAAAATTTTGTGTTTTCCTATAGTAGTTTTATGGTTTGTTTTTACACTGAATCCTGAAATCCAGCTGCAAATTATTTGATATGAATAGTAAGATATAAGCTAACTATAACTTCATTTGCTTTTCCCCCCAAAAAAACAATGGTGAGCAGTTGTCTGAGAACTTTTGAATAATCAGTCCCTTTTGTTGCTTTAATAAAAGGTAAGGAGAGAGCATGGTTGTGGAGACAAACACTAGAGTGGACTCATTGTGCAGCAGAGAATGGAGTTGGATTTTGGGGTTATGTCCACTTCTGTCTTGGGAGTTTTCACTGGGCTGCAAAAAGAAGTGCAGTATTTGAGGCAGGTGTTCTGTTAAGGAGAGGCCTACAGAGCGTGCCACTAGTGTAAGTAAGAAGGTGCAGCCTGGCAGGGTTGCAGTGGCGGGGACCGGCCCATGTTTGTCCCTAAAGGTCACCACAGGATAAAAGTTACCTGGCTAGGCATTTGCCTCCATGAAGGGCACCCAAAGCCGGAAGTTTGCAAACAAGCCGGAGTTTTCCAGGTAAAAATGGGGGACCTGAATTTGGCAAGATGGGTGAGAATCCTGTCCTACCGCATCTTCCTGCGAATGCTGTCCTTCCCCTTTGCGCCCAGTGCCCTCTGCCTAAGGGCGGAGGTGCCCACGGACACTTCGGCCTGAGAGGAGATCAGTGTCCCGGCTTCCCCTCTGCCCGGGGCGTGCTGGGCTCTCCCTGGCACAGTCGGCACAGGCTGGCTGCTTAGTTTAATTATTTCAAGTGCTCAGCTTTTAGCTGATTTTAAAGGAAAGAAGTACCATTAAGCTTTTGCCTTGGAGTCCACATTTGCTGAAATAGAATGTCCTTGGATGTCACGTTTGGACAGAAGTGCTAAAAGTCCATGTGCTGATTCCGGCAGCTGTTTGGGGTTTAGTTGTCCGTTTACCATGATTAAATTTTACTGTTTTCTCTTACTTAGGTTGTGGCAAAGACCTTTCACGGTGCAGGCATGGTTGTCCCAGTGGATAAGAACGACGTTGGGTACAGAGAGCTTCCGGAAACTGACGGTAACGTGTTTCTGACATGCATTGTGTGCGTCTGTGAGTGTGCGTGTCTGTATGTGGGGCAGGTGTCCCTCATGCTGATAAGTGGTGAGTACGTGTGCCTTTGGAGGGACTGTGATAAAGAGCCGGGTGTTAGGGCCAGTAATGCCAGAATTGACACTGGTTTGTAGCTTTTTAACCTTAAGTGAATGATTTGACCACAGAAGACTTAGTCTTTCTCACCCGTGAAATGACTGATGGGCGAGCAGCTCGGGCGGCAATGGGTGGCAGTGTGGCAGGTGCTTGCTGGTAGTGCCTGGCTTTGCAGCTGTTGTTCCACATAAGGGTTGGGGCCTGGACGCCTGCCTTTTGAAACAGTTCTAAAGCATCTGTGCTCAAACCTGGCTGTGCAGTCTGCGGCCAGTAGGTCGAGGTGCCTCACAGAAAAACTGTTCATGACAGAGCAACTTTTGCTGTCCCCCTCACTTCAGAGGGGTCGCAGGGGAGACGAGTAGGATGGGCTGCGCAGTGTGGAGCCACCAGCCACGTGGCTACAGAGCACCTCAGATGGGGCTGTGCCGCTGAGCCGAATTGGCCATTTTGCTTCATTTTAATCCATTTAAATTTAAAAGCTGAAACAGTGCTAACTTTTTTATATTGGCTACATGTTGAAACAGTACTATTTTGGATATATTGGGTTAAATTAAGTATCTTTAAACTATTTTCACATCAGTTTTCTGGGTACTAGAGAGAATCTGTTGACACGGAGAGCCTGCGTGCTACTTGTTGGCCAGGCTGGTGTGTCCCGTGCCCTGCCTGAAGCCAGAGCGGGCCGGGCCCCGGTGGGGGGACTGCAGGCTCTCCCACTGGCTGCCGTCGGCTGCGTCTGATCTTCCCTTCTGCCCCTGGGCCATCTGAAAACTTCAGAGGACAGAACTACTGTCTCATTTGGGGAAGGTTGAGACTATCTGTCACAGTGACAGCAGTCTGGAAAGCTTAGGGGTGGTGGGTGCTGAATGAGTCCCCTGGAGTAAACGCCACACCCTCCCGGGTTGCGGTTCTCGAGTTTTACGCCCAAGATCATTGCTGTTTACCTCTCCTTTCTCCTGACATTCTGGGTGTTTGGGCCTTCCGTGGTTCAGTCACTTCTGGATGAGAAGTGGCGGCAAAGTACAAAAGGCCCAGGATCTTGCCATCGCCTCACGTCTGCCAGGAAGTGTGGCTGGCCGGCAGCTTGTCAGTGTGGGACCATGTCAGCAAGTCAGCCAGCTCGGCCCCCTGCCAGTTCCACCTCTGCAGCTTCTTACACAGAACATTTTACCTGGTAAACAAGATACGGTCTAGTGAGCAACTCATAAATGCCATGTTTGGCAGGTCGAGTGACGTGTGCAGTGTTTCCAGCCCTCCCCAGCCTCTCAGGTGGGCCCGCTCCCGTCCTCAGGAGGGGCAGGCTCCCCGGCTGGGCCCTTCTGGCTGCAGAGGGCTTGCCACCAGTGATTGCGTGGCTCGTGCCTGGCTTACACTCTGACACGACCACTGTGGCTCATTAAGTGTCCAGTTGGTGGTGGTGGCTGGGAAAAAATAAGAGTTAGTATTGAAGCTCCTTCACTGACTATTCTGAGGAGTCAGAGAGGGTTTTGTTTCTGTATAGTTAACTTAAGGCTTCACTTGGATATTCTTTAAGTTTTGACTTCTGCTAAGTGAATTTTTGTATAATTTTTTATTGATGGAAAAATCAATGAAGTTTTAAAACATGTTTTTCCTCATTGGTGGTGAGTTGAATCTCTTTATCTCCATTCTTTAGTATTTTTCTAACTTAGTAATTCCTGTAAATTGCTAATTCTTTTCTAACCATATATGAGTTGCCAGTGCTGAAGATAGGAAATATGGTATCAGAAAGTGATAAGCTTTAAATTATCTGCAAACAGAAGAGAGCTGGTCTTCACTCCACGCCGCTGCTCAATGACTTGAGGTGCTGCCCGCGGCGCTGTGGGGAGACGGGACCCCAGGGCCTCAGTCAGTCCTCTGTGGCGCAAGGAGGGGCCCAATCTCCATCCTCAAGGCTCTGAAGGAAGCCTACGTGTTCCCTGGGGATGCTCTGCACTGCCCCCTCCAAGAACGGAAGGAAGCTAGTGAAGTTTATATAAAGTCATGTAAAGGTTTCAGACCAGAATCGGTCACTGTTTCCAGGCAGGACCACAGGTAGTAAGTGTGTCCTGTGTGGGACTCATCTGCCCGAGGTGGAAAGGGGGCGGCACACACTGCGGCTTTCCTGGGCTGTGCGGTGTGGCTGCCGGGCGCAGGCGTGGGTGCCAGTCAGAGCCACTGAGGGTCCTGTGCTTTGGTGTGTGGTCAGAATCGCTCAGGCGTCGTGCCTCACACTGTGACTCAGCATCGGTCACTCGTGGGTGTGACTGTCACGTTGTTTCAACCAGTCCCCCCTCCGGCCCAGCAGCCGCTGTGCCCACAGATGTCTCTTGGCCTGAGTAATCTAACCCATTTTTTCCGACCGGGGACCGTCCTCAGGGAAGCAGTGTGTCGGGACGGCCGGCCCGCTGGATAATGCTCCCTACGTAATTCTCGTGTGCTCCTGGGAGCTGGCACACGTCAGCACCCAGAAATGGGAAAAGTGGTGAAAACCAAAACAGAAGTGTTTTTAAGATAAAATGTAGATGAATGTTAGAAATGTCTATTCTTACCTCAAATAAGTCTGCCGGGCCACACTTCCCATCTTCGGTAAAGGTCTAGCTCCGCAGACTTCTGTCTTACATCGTTGCCTCTCCCTGTGTGTTTCTTTTTTAAATAATTACGGTTGAACAGGGCAAAATTAATAAACTTCATTGTCTGGCCTTTTTTTTTTAATCCAGCTGCTAAAATAGACTAGCCCAGGGGTGGGCTACTTGTGGTCTCTGTCCCCATATTCTTGTGGGTTTTTTTTCCAACCATTTAAGAAATGGTGGGACGTTCTCAGTCTGAGAGCAGTTAGACACAGGGTGGGCCAGGTTTGACTGTAGTTTGCCAATTCCTGTACTCGGCTCTTAAAAATCTTTGAAAGCTAATGTGAAATGGTGATCGCAGCTACGTCCACTGTGAACTAGTCACTTCACTAATCCAAGAACTCTCATAGGCCATTTTTATGTTTGAATCTTAAGTAGAAAATTATGAAGCAGCTGTTTAAATTATGTGCCGCAGCTCTAGGAGGAAACCCCAGCTTAGCTTTTACCTTTGAGGGGGTCACAGACCCCTGCTGTCACTCCTTCCAGCCAACCTCCGGAGGATCTGCAGGGCGGTTGCCGAGGCACCAAACGATGAGGAGAGACTGAGGGCCTTCGCCCCTCTCCAGGAAATGACGACGTTCGTGCAGTTCGCTAATGACGAGTGTGACTACGGCATGGGGCTGGAGCTGGGCGTGGACCTCTTCTGTTACGGCTCCCACGTGAGTGAGACCATCCCCTCCTCCCACATACACTCGCACACACTCGTGGATGCGTCTCCAGCTCGGGTAGGAGGTGCATTCAGCTTGTCTTTAAAATGAACTTTGTGAAGTGCTTTTTAAGGCACATATCTAAAAATGTTTTTTATTTGGAGTTCATCCTGTCCTGACAGAGGTGAATAACAAGATAATTTCAGGTTGACACTAGTCACTAAATACCAGACGTACCACAGGACTGTGCCCGTTTGTGTGTGTGGTGCCCCCGCTTTCCCAGGCTCCGTCCCACCCTCTGGGGCGGGGGGCGCTCTTGTGTCTGATCCGTGGGTGAAGAGCAGAGACCACAGTGCCTGTCTTACCCGTGGTTCCAGGTCCCCACAGTCACTGCATCCAGACACAGGTCTTCCTGGCTCCAGGGCACAGCGCCCATAGCACCCTCTTCCCTCCATCGCATTTATAGGTGTCTTGCCACTGCACGTCACCGTGAGGGCCGCACAGGAAGAGAAAGAGACCATGTCCACCCAGCCTTTTATTACACTGCATTGTTAGGACTGTTCTGTCAGCTGTTGCTAATCTCACTGTGCCTGATTTAGAAATTAAACTTTATCCCAGGTGTGCATGTAGAGGAAAACGATGCATACAGGGTTCAGCACTATCTGCACTATCTATCATCTCAGCGTCCACTAGGGGTCCGGGATATTCTCCATGGATAAGGGGGCACCACTGTATTTTAAAATGCTTTAATTTATGTTACTTAAAATACAGGAGAGGCCATTTATCTTTGCTCATTAAATAGGAAAAACCTACCTAACAGTTAAATCTGCTTCCTTGACCATGGTTGCTCCAAAGCATAGTGGCTGTGACACGTCTGGGGCTCACCTGCTTGGCTTTAAGTCACAGCTTCCCTTCTCAGTAGCTGGGTAGGCCCGCAGCTTCTCCAGCACCTTCGTGTCTGTCTCCTTTCCTGTAGCGTCTGCGCACACACACCACAGACCATTCAGGCACAATGTGACCTGCGGTCTCCTGCCCAAAGAGGGGCTCAGGTTCACACAGGCAGGCTGCCTCCAGACGTGTGCAGACCAGTAGTTCCCACACTGAAGTGCAGAGATCTCCTGAGATGCTGTTGGAATGTAAGTCGTCTGAGAGGAGGCCAGGCACGCATTGGAACCACCTGCAGGGCCGTCCAGATCGGTTCCCACCCCATGCCCCTCAGGTTGGGTTTCAGGTGGGTCCTGACCAGTTACCAGGCTGGGCTGATGGCACTGGTGGGGGAGTCTCCCCTGAAGACTCCACCCTGCACCTCACGACTGCCTCATGTGGCTTTACCACGTGACAGAGCGGTGCCTGGCCCGCCAGCAGACCCGGGCCTGGGCACTGGAGACTGTGACTGGTGTGAGAACAGTGACGTGAGCGCCACAGCACTGGGCACGCTGTGAGCGCCGCCTGGTTACCCCCCAAGAAGTGCCGACGTGCAGCTGCGGGAGTCTGCGGTGTGGGTCAGCCTGAGGCCGGCCTGCAGATGGGCCCGTGTGGTGGGAGTCTGGAGACGGGGCCACAGTGTCCCTGTGCCTACAGTGCAGACCTTAACTGCTGGAGACACAGCGGAAGAAAAGGGAAGCATTTATAGTTTGGGGCAGAAGTTGGTGAACCTCATCCAGGGTATAAAAGGAAGCTCGGGATTTTAACGCGAGTTTCTTCAGGCTACACTGTTAGTCTTACGGCTACAGGATTGCCTCCAGGGCAGAGCGCCAGGCGCCTGGCCGGTCACTACTCCCAAGGCCCCGAGCAGCTGCGGTGGTCTGGGGCTGCTCTGTGAGCTTTCTCGGTGTTTCTGCTGTTCACCTGGGCTTCTGCTGTATTCTCTGCTTCATGTTATGTTCCTTTATCTTTCAGTATTTTCATAAAGTCGCCGGCCAGCTTTTACCTCTTGCATATAACCTGTTGAAGAGGAATCTCTTTGCAGAAATTATTGAAGACCATCTGGCAAACAGAAATAGAGAGAACATAGACCAGCTTACAGCCTGAGTACTGCTGGCTGTGGTGCAGAATATTCTAGAGCTTTGCTGTTAACTTGTGAGCTCTTTGTTTTTAAGGAATACAGAAAATAAATTGATAGAAATGCTTACTAAAATTTGTATACAACTCCTCTGGCCTGGTTTTTTTCATGTGCACATCAACAGCAGTAGAATCCTCTGAGGGGGAAAGCACAGCCTCATGGACCTTTCACAGGACGCCGCTGCCAGGGCCCTGGACCGCCCCCCACCAGGCCCTGACTCAGTGGCTCTTCCTCCCTGTGGCTGGGCTAGTTGAGCTGTGCCCCAGGCATGGGACTGGGGGCAGCAGCTGGGGGACCCAACCAAGCCCGGGCACAGCACGGCAGCACCGGCCACTCATGGGCAGGTGGTGCCCCAGGTGCATTCATTCAACAGTCCTGTGGCCGGCGTGGGAGGCTGGGATGGCCCTGACATAACCAGCACACCATTAGTGCACATGGTGAACGTTTCCATTCCACCTTATTCCACTGCACTCATAACACAAACCTGTGGATAGCTGAGTGCTAGCAGATTAAGATCCTCCTTAAGCTGACAGTGTCCTTGAAAACAACAAACCATGAAATGCGGGACAATGAACAGTGAAGTGGGCTACAGAGCCTGAAAGCCTTTTCCCTTTTCTCTGAAGTTTAAGGTAGAGAAGAGCTCGGGTCACCTAGTTCAACCCCCACATCTTGTAGATTGGTTGGACTTATCCCAGAACATCTGTGGGGTCACTCCAAGGGAACTTGCCGTCGGCTGCAAAGCGACTTGAGGATCACTGAAGAAAATGCCCCAAGTGGGTAAAATCGCGCAAGATTCAGGGAACTATTTCATGCAATGCCCATGAGTTAAGGATTCTTGATTTTCAGACAACAGGTCCCGGGCTTGGGAAACTCATTGCCAGTGCACACTGCCCCTGCCTGCTGGGTCCGGCCCCCGCAAGTCTGAGCACAGACCCGTCTGTGCCCAGCCCCCCTCAGTCCCCTGACTGAGCCCCAGCATGAGGCCACCCATATTCACCATACTGCTCGGCACTGTGCACTGCTACCCACATGGCATCCCCACTTGGAAGACTTTTTTTAAGGCATCATTGATATAGACTCTTGCAAAGGTTTCATATGAACAACCCTGTGGTCACTACATTCACCCATATTAATCAAGTCCCCCTCACACCTCACTGTACTCACTGTCCATCAGTATAGTAAGATGCTATGGTCACTACTGTGCTACAGTCTTCCCCATGACTCCTCCCCTCCCCCATCATGTGTACTAATCATAGTACCCCTCAATCCCCTTCCTCCCTCCCCACCAGCCCTCCCCTTTGGTAACCACTAGTCCCTTCTTGGAGTCTGTGCATCTGCTGTTTTGTTCCTTCAGTTTTGTTCACTGTTCGACTCCAAAAATGAGTGAAATCATTTGGTATTTGTCTTTCTCCACCTGGCTTATTTTACTGAGCATAATATCCTCTAGCTCCATCCATGTTGCTGCAAATGGTAGATCTGTTTTCTTCTCATGGCTGAATGATGATACTCCATTGTGTGTATGTACCACCTCTTCTTTATCCATTCATCTCCTGATGGACACTTAGGTTGCTTCCATATCTTGGCTATTGTAGTGATGTGATAAACATAGGGGTACATATGTCTTTGAATCAGGGATCTTGTTTTCTTTGGATAAATTCCTAGGAGTAGAATTCCTGGATCAAATAGTACTTCCAGTTGTACTTTTTTGAGGAACCTCCATATTCCTTCCCTCAGTGGTTGAACTAACTTGCATTCCCACCAGCAGTGTAGGAGGGTTCCCCTTTCTCCACATCCTCGCCAGCATTTGTTGTTCCAGGTCTTTTGGATGGGGGCCATCCTTACTGGTGTGAGGTGATATCTCACTGTGGTTTTAATTTGCATTTCCCTGATGCTTAGCGATGTGGAGCATCTTTTCATGTGCCTGTTGACCACCTTGAATTTCTTCTTTGGAGAAGTGTCTGTTCATATCCTCCACCCATTTTTTAATAAGGTTATTTGCTTTTTGGGTGTTGAGGTGTGAGTTCCTTATATATTTTGGGTGTTAACCCCTTACCAGAGATGTCATTTATGAATATATTCTTCCATACTGTAGGATGGCTACTTTGAAGTCTGAAACAGCATTAAAGCTACTGTCAAACAACAAAATCCCTCTGTTCATGACCCAAACTGATCCTCCCTGGTCTTTGCAGTTCAGGTGCCCATTGCTCCGTGGCCGCTCAGGCCGACCCCCTGGGAGGCACCCCCACTCCACTCCACATTCAATCCACTGGCAGACCCCGTCCGCTCTGCCTCCCAAACCTGAGGACCTGGCCACATCTACCATCTCCAGTGGGCCCAGTGCGGTGTGAGCCTCCGTCATCTCCCACCCGGGTCACCCCAAAGCACCCACCTCCACCCTGCCCCCCACAGTACGTTCCCCACAGGCAAGGGGTTACTCAGATCATGACATCTCCTATCTCACTCCCCATTTCATTCCAAACAGAAGCCTAGCTCCTCCACCCCCGTCCTCTCCTCAGCTCAACCCCTTTGGTCTCCTCCAGTCAGTGACCTGCTGGTGTTCCTTGAGCCTGTCGGGCACCTACCACCTCAGGATGTTTGCATATAGCATCTCCTCCTCTTGGAACATTCTTGTCACAAGATAATGGATCATCCCCTCACTTTCTTCAGTAGGTTCCTGCTCAAACACCCCCAACCTTGATCACCCACTATAAAAGTGTCCTCCCCATTGTTAATTTTTCTCTGTTAGAATGGGAATTTTTCCTGACTTATGTATGGAACAGAGGAATCATTTTTTTTAATTTGCTGGACTAATTTGTGATGATATTTATCAGCATCTGACATACTACAAATCTCCTTCTCTATCAGAATGTAAGTGTTAAGAACACAGAATAGAGCCAAGCACACAGTTATTCCACAAATGCTTGACGAATGATCAAATGAACTGAGTGATAAAGGATCTGTCCTCAACTTTCTTCTAAGGGTTTTCCCTTTTACTAGAAGTTCAGTATCGGATGACCACTGAGATCTTGACTAACACTGCAAGTGTCACCACCTCCTTGCAGGCAGTTCTGTTACCAAATGTCCAAGGTAACAAAAAAAAAAGTGTAAACTGTTTACAATTTCTCTTTATGCAAATAGCATTTTCTTTCTTAAAAAAGTTTTGAAAGTGAACTGAACTGAAATCTTTCTGCACACCTGCAACTTTTACTTGACAGACGGAGGCTCTGAACTACTGCTGAGACCGTGTGTGTGTCCTGCCGCTCAGCCCAGCATCTCTTCTTGTGTTGCCCCAGCCTGTGGAGTACCGGGGGGCTCTGTCACTGGGGAGCCCTCCCAGCCCAGTGCCGTCCACACTGACCGGGCAGCAGGGAGAGTGGGAGGCTGTCAGAGATGTAATCAAAGGCCAGACCACATATTGTCAGATAGATTTTAATCGATTTTCTGATTAATTCATCACAGTGATCACTTCTACTGTGATGATATGCAGCTTTACTACACTAGTATAAATAATAACATAAATACAGCTCTAGGCCACATCACAGATTAACAAACTGAGCGTTCTTCATGAACCACGGCTGAGAACGATGATCAGTAAGAGAAGCTGACACCCTTGCTCATTCTCATCATACCTTTTCAGAAAGGTACTCAAATAAGGCGCTCCACTTGTGGTGTCGGCCTATTAGTTTGCCAGTCAGCCAGGCACATACATTTCATGATCTGTACTATTTCATTGCTTGGTTGAGAAATCAGACACACCTCAACATATCAAAAGGAAAAGTGGAACAGATAGTAACACCAAAGTAACACCGGATGCATTAGAGATACAGCACTGCTCCTGCATGTCAGCAGTGAGAAGGACCAGGGGTGGCAACACATCAAGAAGGAAATTAATATCCACCTTGAATATCCACCCTGAAATGTAGTCTATGAAGCAGGATGGGGCAGAAAGGAAGGCCTGAAATAAAAAAAAGAAACAAAGAAAATAAAATCTGAGTTACGTTTAATGTAAGGAAGCTATCTGCAAAGAAACTGGTTTCTCCTTGGAAGGCTTGTAACTCAAGACAAGCAATTAAGTTCTACAACAGCTGATGCAGAGTTTGTGGTCCAGCCGTGCCCTGACGTGCCAGTGCACTTAGCTGGGGAGAAGACATGCAGAGCTGCCACTCCGAGGGCTCACCTGCATGCCCAATAAACTCTGCCCAGGTCAGCAGGAAACCCTGAGGTCAGCCCGAGGCGGGGAACGAGGGCCAAATACTCACTTTAGGCAGATGGCAATACTAAGGATGATGAAATTCCTAAAGTTTTGCTCAATTTCCAGTCATCATTCTAATATGGCTTCATGATCTTATAAGTCTTCAAGATCGTACAGATCCTATGTGACAGACGCATTAAGACCCAGGAAGTGAAGAATTACTTCCAAAATGTAAAACCTGCTGGTTGCCAGTTGTTTCAGAAAACATCAGTCAGCAAACATGAATTTCCTACCAAAAGTGCACACTCACAGAATATTTAGGTCACCCTTCAAACAAACAGCCTTTGCCAACAGTGAATCAAGACCATGATTAAGACACATTTCCAAAAACAAAAGTCCCGAACATACACCAGAACATTTTCAGGTCACCCTGCAAAAACGTGCACTGTGGATGTTCAAACATCACTGACACTTATGGGTGTAACCCGAAGAGTTAAAGATGAAGTTCACATTAAAATTTTAACTGCTACCTTTGCAATTTTACTGTTTTCATTGGTTTGATTTTCTTTTTTAAGGTCAGCACTATTTAATTTCTGGTTTTAATCGGCAAAGTGATTTGTAGTGTGTTTCAACTTTCCAGTTAATGAATCAAAATGGACATAATCCAGGGGATGGCAGTGAAATCAGAAAAGGTTTATGTACACACTGGATCATAAATAACCACAACCTCTTTTTAAACCCTTGCTCCCACTGTAAACTTTGTTTGTATCTCCGTATTTGTAAGTCTGAATTAGTCTATAAAAATCACATTAAAAAGGTAAGTTTAAGTGCGATATTAACTGATCTGTATTTTATAAATTTTAATCCATAAAAATATAAATAAGAATGGTAAATTTTTAAGAAAAGAAATATACATTTAGTGCAAGTTATGAATTACATTTCCTCTTCAGTGTCAGCAGTTAAAGTATCTTGAGGAAAGAAAAAAAAAATGACTGATCTAATTTCAAGAACAAGAAATTCCAGTGTTTAAACATGCAATCAACACCAGACACAGCTGCACAGGGTTCTCCCATCTCTTCTGTCACAGCGGCAGCCTGGCTCCTTACGCTGAATAGTACTTGTTATCACTATAGTTCTAGAGATAGAAACTTTGCATAAAACCAGCTTCACATTATCCATAGTCTGAGAAGAAAAAAAAAAAACAGAAAGAAGACTGTTTACCCTTCCAGTCGAGTTTCACTGCAGCTTCTGACTCACACCGCACTCCGGGCTTCCCTGTGCATGGCTCCCGGGGCTGGCGCGACCCCACGGCCAGCAGACCCACACCCTCTGTGATGGCATGAGAGTCACCATGCATCTCAATGTGAGAAAGGACTGTGGCACACGGGCTCACCAACTCAGGGGGGGCTGCGTTACAGCTCCAGAGGGAGGGAGGGATCAAGGAGCTCCGGGACGCAGGGAGGTAATGCTCGGCTGTATGACTCATACCGTAAGCAGAACGGCTCTGGCACTCAGGGGCAAGGCCGTGCAGTCTTACAGACGGCTCACCTCGAAGGCACCCTCCAGAAGCGGGGCTGACCATGCGTGTCTGCAGCGCCGGAGGCCTGCCAACCACAGCCGCGTGCGTCCGGCAGACACAGGGGCCAATGCGTGGCTCTGGTGGGTGTGGACGTGGCGCCTCGTTTCCTTCTCTCGCCGTTCCCTCTCCAAGCAACTGCACTCCACCAGCATTATTTGCAGCCTGTGTTGCAAAAGCCTGGCTTTCATACTTCCTTTTTTTTTTTTTTTTTAAGGAGAAAACAAGTAGATGGTTCCCTCAGGTCAAAGAGTTGTGCTATTCAACAAATGAGCCTCCTCTTCCGCTTCGTCGCTCTCCTCACCTGTGCAGCTCAGTTGAACATTATTGACGCGGGGTCCTGGTTCGCCGTCTGGGCCATATGGCGCAGGATATCTTTTTTTGTTATAATGCCAAGGAGGCGCCTGAAAGGAATGGACAGAACATTGATATTAAAACGAACAGGAAAGAGAAAGCCCACATCTATAACTAAACCCTTTTTGTTGACAGTAATAGAGCAAAGCAAGCAGCTTGATTCTATAATTTCAGGAGTTATTTCATTTGGAAAGAACCATCCTTTGCTATAAAAAGTATTATGGTCAAAATAGGATGATGTCCACTCCACTGAGACTGAGGCCTGTGTCCTCAGTGAAGAGCTATTTTGGGTAACGTTTGCCAACAAAAAAGTATCACAAGACGGGAGGATGTGTAACAAAGAAATGCTGCTGATCCCCTCTGCACAGAAAATTCATTCCCATCATGGCAAGAAAGCAGTAAAATGTCTGATGACCAAATCCACTCAACATTCCATGTTTTAAAACCAAAATTAACTTCTAAAAACTGACTCAAGAATTGCCCAGTTGTATGCAGAATCTTCAGGAAAAGTGCGTACAACTGAGATAAATGCATATAAAATGGTCGGCACAGAACTTCAATCCCAAACCTCAGAACCCCAGAGATAAAAGACCGCCCAAGTTTCTAGTGCACTCATCAATGTTTTCCTTTTTTGATTTTGGCCAAAAAAGTTAGGATACAGCACTTCTGTGAAAGCTTTAGTTGCTCTTGCTCACATTAAAAGGTAGGTGAGACAGACCCTAGCTCATAAAAGACTATTGCAGGTGAAGCAGAGAGAATAATAAGCAGGCACTTATTATTCGGGTTAGTAAGTTTTTCAAAAAGGATCCATGAAACACTTGTGAAATATCAGCATAAACAGGAAACACAGTTGTGTACTTGAGAAAACTGGGACAGGTTTTATACAGGTGGGACAACTGCAGGACAAAATAATTCCAGGCATAGCTGCGAAAGCCAGACAATTTTTAAGTTAAAAGGTAATTCAAAATTTATCTTTAGTCATGAAACCACAATGACATAAAGCCAGCCAGTTAAATGCGTATGAACCTGAAAGCTGTTCACAGCGTTCCAGAAACGTCATACAGAAGAGGGACACACACAATCTAAAATCCAAGTACAATTTGCTGATGAAATGGCAGGACACACATCCTTGACACTGGAGTTATACTGGGTACGATATTAGGGTCACAAACACATCCACGTTATACTCTAGAGAGTGTCCCATAAAAAAACCATCTACCTGTCAGCGATTCTAACACTGCTATGCTCATTAAAATCATGTATGAGCTTAGATTTATCACGAGATTACAAGATTAAGAAACATAAAGAAAAAGGGTTGGGTGGTCACGCAGACATCCCCGCCAGTCAGGCACCCTTCTGAGAGTGGCGTGCCCGCCCAGGTAGACGGATGTACTGTGCGCACACCAACACCGTCCCATCAGTCACTCTTCAACTAGCAGACTGCTGATAGCTCTAAACTACAAGCCCCCGTTCCGGGGGGTGAGCTGACGCCCAGGCCCTCCTGTGAGTGGGTCTTACACACCCCCCAGTTTGCCTCGGACACTATGGGCTGGAGCGAGGTGGCGGCATGCAGGTGTCGGGGAGGCAGACGCCCAAGGCAGTCATGATGCACTTCCCCCCCTGAGGCGCCTCATGAGGGGACCTGGCGCGTCGTCGCCCAAAGCGCCACATGCTGCTCAAGATGATCTAACATGTTCTTCTTTGTGATGATCCCCAAGACAATCCTGAAACACATCATTTATGCTAATAACTGGGTGAGAAATTAAAAGAGGTTCCAAACATAATGATATAGAATGAGTGAGAAAATTAAAACATGAACCATAAGAATGCTTTAATGAACTTTAGAAAATTAAAAACAAAAATGGTTTGAAATCCTAGGTCCCATTTGCATAAATTCTACTGACTTTCCTAAGTCACACACTATTATTATAGTATGTCACACTATTATATACATATATATACTATATACTACATAATATGTCACACTATTATAAATATTGGTGGGCTGTTTTCCTTTTTAAATTAAAAATCAAAATTATAAAAGTTCACAATGAGGATGACTGCAAAGAAAAGTACATTAGAGACAATATTAATACAGCTACCAAACTCTTGAAATAGCTTCATTTTCAGTGTTCTTTCCTTGGGGGAAAGTATTTTCTAATTTCTAAGACATCACAACACAGCAGCTATATTTCAATAATTAAAAGTAGGGACGAGGCTCAGCTTTCACTGCCTATGAGTAGACTTAAGAAATCCCTCGAGTTTTACCATTACTGGAATTAAAATTAAAGGCAATGCACACTAAATAAATAATGCTGACTGATACAAGCAGCACCTTGTTTCCCAGAGCTGCCCAATGCCACTTCTTCAGTGAGTGCTGATGCGGTCATGATTGGGGGTCGAATGACTTTAACTCTGCCATTATTCCTACATAATGACTTCTCAGTTATTACATTATTATAACATCAAGCAAAATGGTGGACACAAATTCTCACAAGCATACTTCAAGACAGACTGCTTTTAGTAATTAAAATTCTAGTTACCGCAGTCAATGAATTCAGCTACAGTGAGTAGCAATAGAGACAGTAAATGTCAAAATCCTTAAAAAGCTTTATAATCATTAAATGCTGGAAGCCTGCCTAGGAGGCCCCTTAGAGGATGGGACATGTCCCCCGCGACCTGGTTATGTCAGTTTGATTCGTAAACTGTGGCTGAACATTCAGGTTTCTTCAAGCATGTCACCCAGGGACTTCGCTGAGGCCAAGTCGCCTTGCCCTACAGATGTCACCAAGCAGCTACCGAGGACCATGCTGGCTTCAGGGCCGGGAAAGTGGGGAAGGCAGGGGTAGGAAAAGGCAGAAATAGGTGCTCTGCTTTTTCTCATTACTGAAAAAGAATGATGTGCTGATCCCTAAGAACAAAGAGCACGGAACAAGCCCCCCACCACGGAAGCTCAGAACTGTCCCACACAGAGCGAACCTCCTTCAACGTGTATCCCTGCCGACCGCACGGGGCGGACAGGCAACAAGCCCTAGACTCACTTCAATTCGAAGCTGGAGTCAGGAAACCCTGACAATTACACAATTCCAGTTTAATTCTTACACACTCTCTTCTGTCCGTCCAGTTACATCCAGTGATTCATTTCAGTCAGTAGATCAGTAAACTTTGCCACAGCTCACAGTACACAAAGAAAACAGTTACAAGTTTATGAAGGACCAAAAGGCAAATTCAGAGGTTTACATGGTAACAGCCCTGATAAGGAGAAAATACATATACTCTTTCTTTTGCTCATGGAGATGACTAGATAGTAACATGGCCAGGCTCAGGGCTGCTTTACTAATTTCAGTGCAAAATTTGACTCATGTAAAGAACTACTAGCTGTTTTTTGTGGGATAACAAGTAATGATGTAACTTGACAGGGCATGAAGTGTCCCGTCTCTGTTCTCATTTTCTCCTTGCATCTAAGGTCCTGGACTTGTATCTCTTCCCCCAAATAGTTACTTTCCACCTCAGAGGACACACTATCAACTCTAAAATGTTGACAATTACCCAGAACTTTATACCTTCCACTAACACCAGAAGATGTGATTTCTTTTCTGGGTTTAAATCATTTAAATGAGAATAAAACACTACTTCAAATACTTTAAAGGAAACAAAGTCCCAAAAGCCACCACCGCAAATGATCTATATATTGATATACAAATATGTATCAATCTATTTTCCTTGAGGGACAGAAATAAGGAAAATGTTACCAAGGCAATTAAACCTACTCCTTTGGGAAAAGCCACCCCTACCCCAAGCTCTCTTATAAGCAGGCAGCATCAGGATTTTAGAATCCTCTCCACCCCGACCACCCCTTGCTATTTTTACACTTTCTTTTAAATGTTTTCCTTTCTGGTATCTGTGCTGAAAACCTGGGATCTCAGCAAAGTTAAAAGCGGTAATTAACTTTGTGATCATAGTTAATCATGACTACAGAATGACTTTATCACGTATTCATGTCATTTGATATAACAGGACAGACCAAACCAGAAACACAGAATAACCCAATGCAACCAAAAGTTTTCAGCTCAGCTTAGCTTCCCACTGAGCCATTTATGACTAAAAGGGTCCAAGAACCAGTAAAGCTTTATGAAAAGTTATTCCATTTAACGTGTCTTATTAAGTTTTTAAACAATGAAGTTTGGTACCATTAAATTTTTTTAATTGAACAACACTGAACAAAAGGAAAGTTATTTTACAACATACATTTCTTCTCCAATCAGCATCTGTGGTATTAATTTCAAACTCCCTGCTCTTAATCAAGAGCTTTATCCTTTTAATGATTTATTTCAGATCTCCTAGGGTTATTTTCACAGGTCACAGAGTGAGAACACCAAACATGGATCTAATTCTCTAGCTTTACTATTTCTAGTCCTAACCCAATACAATGCAATATGCTACGCAAGAAACTCTAAGCAGTTGGAGAAATCACAAAGAAGAGGTCACATCCTGCCAGTTATTAACAAGCAAGTCAGCAACAAGAGACTGGGTTTTAACATCAGAGAGTCTCGATTTCCTCATCTATGATTTGCTAACCATGAAACTGGGCAAACACTACGCCTCTCCAAGCTCCAGCCACCACATTGGTCCAGGAGAGTCTTATGCCTACTTAGCAGGGCTGTTAGGAAGTAACATGAGCAACATGAAGATATTCAAAAAGCCAACTTCCCTCCCTTCTGCTCTTTCCTCTGTCTAGACAGGAGTCATGTGTTTCGTCACCCAGGTGCTTTGAACAAAATGTTTTAAAAAAAAAAACCTGCTGTGATTCTAACTATTAATTTCGACTAGCTTCAGGCTGTACAGGGTTAACCATCCAAGTTCCTCCATGACCCGAGGATGCCCTTTGTTTCTCACTTCTGGCCCTTCAGTTCTCAGGTGCCCCAACAGCAACAGTGCAACAGCAGCGGGAAGGGACAAGCGGGCGTGCATGCGGTGGGACCCAGACCCAGCGGGAGCACCGAGCACGTCTGCCGAGGCCACCTTGGCTCCTCAATCCCCGTGTGTCCGCCCAAGAAGCCGTCCCGTGACTGTCCTGGAAAAACACTGCCATTCTATGCGTGAAGGGCAGGAAAATAATCAGTCGATACATTTTAAGTACATGAGTGTTTATCTGTCCTTAGCAGTTTATGTGAAAGCTCTGTGGATGAAGCAGAAAAGCAGAAACAGAGCTCTTGCCAAAGGAGGTTTCAGCTAATTTACAAATTTCATTTAATTACATATTATTTTCTTCATTACACGACAAATCAAATAATGGCTGAAATAGCAAAATATCTCAGAAGTTATTATTTATACTCTACAAACAAAGTACTTAGAAGAAAACAGGGTCTGGTCCTATTTCCTGCAGGCTCAGCCCACTGCTCCTCCAGGAGAGCACACGCTAAGCACAGCGCGCATGGGGAGGTGTTCAGCGCCTCCCTTCCAACATGGAAGCGTGCGTGACGAACGTCAGTTTGCGTTCTGGCAAGCAGCCGGCACGTCTCTACTCTGCCAAGTGTGCACCTGGCTGGCGCTCTGCCATTCAGCACGCACTGGCAGGCCCGCTTCCCCATAAGCACCGACTTTCACTACCTCTGGAACTGCAAACAGGTTCCACTCTAAAGTGTCAGTTCTGGAAGGGCGCTGGTATCCAGCCAGACTCACCCGTTGTGAGTGACGAGGCACTGCCTCAGCCCCAGCTTCCGGAAAATGTCCACCACTATCTCCATTGGGGTGTGGTCGGTCACTGTGAAGGGGCTCATGTCCAGAATGCTCCGGAGCTTCAGTGGCCGAGGGCTTTCTGCTGGGAGAGATGGCGTGTGCTGTGCAAAACACACACGTGAGCTGCCCACGATACCTTCCTGTTTTTTTCTGGCACTTTCTGAAAACAGAGAGAAGACCAAATATTAAAAACTAATAGGTTTTGTTTGGTTTGTTTTAAGGACAACCTATTATTCAGAGATAAAAAGTTAAGTAAATGTATCCCATGACTTTTGGTCCCTGCATTTTTTGCCTATCTTCTTTACCAAGAAGGGAAGAAAATGAAAAGCCACTTAGCAGTTTCTTCCTTCTGACCGAATGAGGACCACCAATACAAATCAACTCTGGGTAAACGAAATACTCTGGTATCACTGTTACAGCACCGTTTTCTCTGCTGGGGCGGAAGCTATTTCTAACTTTGGGGGACAGGCAGCATTTTGGAATGTGGCCTCGAACACCTGACGCGTTCTGAGACCACAGTCCATGACAGGAACCCACCCCCGAGTGACACCTGCCTTTGCCAAGTGTCCCCTGCCCTGCAGGGGAGGTGGGACAAACAGCCCCTGGGGGTTAGCTACTTGTTCTCTTTTCTGATGTTAATTTTCTGGGTGAGTCATGAGCATTAACAGATGGGTTGAAACCTTCCTTGGTTACGTACATAATGGGCACAGACTGATCTTTCTGTTTCATTTGCAAAGGTTTGTTCATTTCCCCTCCAGGGGCTCTGCTTCAAGTGCGTCTGTCCCACACCTACTCCCACCTTTCAAAGCGCTAGACAAAAGTGGTTGAGGACAAAACACCACAGCGGAGGGACAGAGAGCACAGGAAGGAGGCGGAACCCATGAAATGGAGAGAACACCAATGTAAAAACAAAACTGTCAACTTCACGTTTCTACTTTGAGTCAATATTTATGTAAAGCTATGTACAAACATGGTACTTGTTATATTAAATGTATTTCAAACATGAATTTTGCTACAAAAATATTTAAGCAAAAATGATAAACACCAGTCCTAAAGTGAGAAGCAGATAAATATACGTGGCTCATAAACCCACACTGCGGGACATTCACGCCTTCCGAGCACCAGGGCCTCCTTTCACTTACTCATTCACATAGGATGGCACTACGTGAAACCAGATGGCCAGTACTCACTGACCCACCTCAGAAGCCTGACAAAAGCACGGCAAAGAAGGAAGCCCACAGCAACTGACACGGAGGATTCTTGAAAAGTGTTCCTTATGTTGCTTTTAACTCACAGCATCTGGCTAATGACTTATGAATGGTGGCGTGTAAATAACTGTCAGCATGTATGACAGACATTCTGAGCTAAAACTAATCCCAATCATCAGTCTTAAACATCTTAAAATAACAAATACATCATCACTGAAAAAATATGCTGGAAGACTGTTTAAATATTAAACACTTGATGATAAAACAATTGCAGAAAATTATAGAAGAAATGTATTGGCCTAATCAATTGAAATGTTCCCTTGCATAAGGCACAAGGCTAGTGGACATGCAGCCTGGCTTAAATCTGTCATATTAACATCATGTTGCACGGACACAGTGTTACTTCAGTCTGTACCGCCCACCAGGGGGTCACTGCAGTACCCGGCCACCTGCTAGGTTTGCTCTGTTGTGAACAAACAGTGTTTTGAACACCATTCAAAGACCTTTGAAGCAGAAAACATTAACTGTATTAATTTTTGAAAGCAAAAAAAGTCTCCACACTCATAAAGAAGTATTTCAACCAACTAAGCAGGTATAAAGTTTCTTTCAACCACCATGAAGAGGAACAGGCTAGTCCGCTTCTCGCAGCTCATGCTACCGTTAGCACGGACGGTTTTGAGGCCTGAGGTGGACGCTGCCACGGAAGGGGAAGCCGTTACCAAATTTGCTCTCCTCGGGACACAAGCTCAGGGTCTACCTGAACAAAAGATCTTGTGGAGGAGAAACCACCATCAGGGGGCTGCTCGCTGCCAGCAGCTCTGTGTGTCCAGTTGCCACATTTTCGCACATCAAGAGTCTCCCTGTAAGGCCTACAGGCCCAATAACACACACAGGAGTGAACACGTACACTTTTATACCCTGAGGTGGAAACTGAGAAAGATGACTCAATTCACTCTATAAATGTTAAAAATGGTTCATTTTAAACAAATCTATGAAACGTTCAGCCTCACTTATATATCCTGACACAAAAATGCAGGAGGAAACGTCCCTCCATTTGGACTGAATTTGAACACAGGAAGCCATCCTTCACAGCTGCTGGGAGCCTATGGTATAATCATCACTTGGTGCAATTTGAAAATCTTACAAAATTAAAAACACACTTACTTTTTGATCCAGCAATTCCATTTCAGTAATTTTCCTACATTTGTACATAAGACAAAATGCCAAATATATGAGGCAGCAATTTCTGTTAATAGTGAAAGATTGGAAACACCTTAAATGTTCATCAATGAAGAACTAATTTTAAAAATTATGATGCAACTGAAGATACTATTTAATAGAATACTATGCCACTGTAAAAAATGGAACAAAGAGACTCTATACACTGATACACTGATTTGGGCAGATGTCCAAGAAAATACTGCTTAGTGAAAAAAAAAAAAAAAACAAGGTATAGAACTGCATGTCTTAGCACACTACTATGTGTTTAAAAGAGAGAAAATTATACATACTTATATAAGAGTAATATCTACAATACAGATGAAAAATACTCAAGAAAATACTAGCAAACTGAATTCAAAAACACATCAAAAAGATCATACATCATTATGATCAAGTGGGATTTGTTCCAGGGATGCAAGGATGGTACAATATTAGAATATCCATCAACATCATCCACCACATCAACAAAAAGGACAAAAATCACAGATCATCTCCATAGATGCTGAAAAAGCATTCAACAAAATTCAACATCCATTCATGATAAAAACTCTCAATAGAATGGGTAGAGAGGACAAGTACCTCAACATAATAAAGGCCATATATGACAAACCCACAGCCAACATCATACTTAACAGCAAAAAGGTCAGAGCTTTTCCTCTAAGATTGGGAACAAGGCAAGGATGCCCACTCTCCCCACTTTAATTCAACATAGTATTGCATGCAACAGGTCCTAGCCACGGCAATCAGACAACACAAAGAAATTAAAGGCATCCAGATTTGTAAGGAAGAAGTTAAACAGTCACTGTTTGCAGATGACATGATACTGTACATAAAAACCCTAAAGAATCCACTCCAAAACTACTAGAGTAACTGAATTCAGCAAAGGTGCAGGATACAAAATTAATACACAGAAATCTGTTGCATTCCTACATACTAATGAAGAACTAGCAGAAAGAGAAATCAAGAAAACAATTCCATGTACAACTGCATCTAAATGAATAAAATCCCTAGGAATAAACCTAACCAAGGAGGTGAAAGACCTATACCCTGAAAACTAAAAGACACTCATGAGAGAAATTAAAGAAGACACCAATAAATGGAAATACATCCCATGCTCATGGATAGGAAGAATGAATATTGTCAAAATGGACAGCCTACCTAATGCAAGCTACAGATTCAATCAATCCCTATCAAAATACCGACAACATTCTTGAACAAACTAGAATAGTTCTAAAATTCATATGGAACCACAAAAGACCCCAAATAGACAAAGCAATCCTGAGAAGGAAGAATAAATCTGGGGGAATTACGCTCCCCAACTTCGAGCTCTACTACAAAGCCACAGTAATCAATAAAATTTGTTACTGGCACAAGAACAGACACACACATCAGCGGAATAGAATAGAGTCCAGATATAAACCCACACATATATGGCCAATTAATATACAATAAAGGAGCATGGATATACAATGGGGAAATGACAGCTTCTTCAACAGGTGGTGTTAGCAAAACTGTATAGGACAGCTACATGTAAGAGAATGAAACTGCTTTACTGTTTAACCCCATACACGAAAGTAAACTCTAAATGGATCAAAGACCTGAATGTAAGTCATGAAACCATAAAACTCTCAAGTAAACATAGGCAAAAATCTCTTGAATATAAACATGAGCAACTTTTTCCTGAATGCACCTCCTCAGGCAAGGAAAACAAAAGCAAAAATGAACAAGTGGGACTACATCAAACTAAAAAGCTTCTGTACAGCAAAGGACACCATCAGTAGAACAAAAAGGCATCCTACAGTATGGGAGAATATATTCATAAATGACATATCTGGTAAGGGGTTAACATCCAAAATATATAAAGAACTCACACCTCAACACCCAAAAAGCAAATAACCTCATTAAAAAATGGGTGAAGGATATGAACAGACCCTTCTCCAAAGAAGAAATTCAAATGGTCAACAGGCACATTAAAAGATGCTCCATATCGCTAAGCATCAAGGAAATGCAAATTAAAACCACAATGAGATATCACCTCACACCAGTTAGGATGGCCACCATCCAAAAGACATGGAACAACAAATGCTGGCGAGGATGTGGAGAAAGGGGAACCCTCCTACACTGCTGGTGGGAATGCAAATTAGTTCAACCATTGTGGAAAGCAGTATGGAGGTTCCTCAAAAAACTAAAGCTGGAAATACCATTTGCCCCAGAAATTCCACTCCTAGGAATTTATCCAAAGAAAACAAGATCCCTGATTTAAAAAGACATACCCCTTTTATCGCAGCACTATTTAATAGCCAAGACATGGAAACAATCTAGGTGTCCATCAGTAGATGAATGGATAAAGAAGAGGTGATACATATACACAATGGAATATTATTCAGCTATAAATCATTGGCAACAAGATGGATGGAGCTGGAGGATATTACGCTCGCTGAAATAAGCCAGGGGGAGAAAGACAAGTACCAAATGATTTCATGCATTTGTGGAGTATAACAACAAAGCAAAACTGAAGGAAAAGAACAGCAGCAGACTCACAGAACCCAAGAAGGGACTAGTGGTTACCAAAGGGGAGGGCTGGGAGGTGGAGGGGTGGGGAAGGAGGAAGAAGGGGATTGCGGGGTATCATGATTGGTACACGTTGTGTGTGGGGATCACGGGGAAGACAGTGTAGCATAGAGAAAACAAGTAGTGACTCTGTGGCATCTTACTACACTGATGGACAGTGACTGCAATGGGGTGTGGGGGGACTTGATAATATGGGTGAAAGTAGTAACCACAATGTTGTTCATGTGGAACCTTCGTAAGATTGTATATCAGTGATTCCTTAATGATAAAAAAAAGAGTAAATCTATAAATCACCTAAGAAACCAAGAAGACAGCTGCCTACAGAGAGTTCAACTGGTAAACTACGAGGTCCTGGGTGAGATTTCCACTAGAGATTCCCTTGAATAACACAGGTTTGTACTGCACAGGTCCACTTATATGTAGATTTTTTTTCAATAAATATATTGGAAAATATTTTGGGACTTATGACAATTTGAAAAAACATTTTCTTTTCCCTGAGTTACTTTCTTCTAAAAAATACAGTATCTAATATGTATAACATACAAGTATGTGTGACCCACTGTCTCTCTCACTCGTAAGGGTTCCTGTGCACAGTGGGCTCTCAGTGGCTCAGGTTTTGGGGAGTCAGGAGCTACAGATTTCTGGCTGCACAGGGAGCTGGCGCCCTATCCCTGTGATGTTCAGGTCAGATGTAATCCCCATATTAAGCACCACCTTAGAATCTAAAGGAATCTGAGGGAAAAGATTCCTGTATTTTCAGGAATGTCAGGACAAAATACAACAGAACTATATACTTTTTCAACCTGGCATTTGACCAAAAATAAAATCTCAAATTTTCACTTTAACTAGAAATGACAAGTTAATATTATAAACTTAAATCCAAAAACTAAAAAAGCAAAACCTTGTGAATCTGATATGAAACAAGCCAACTTTATTAAATGCAGAATGTACTCGGCAGGGTGCCCTGGCACTTGCTACTTAAGGCCTTCTATTATAGACTATTATGAATAACAACTAAACAAGGCTTATCTAACTGGGAAAAGAAAGAATTTGACTGTCTCTGGTAATAATGCGAAATCAGAAGGTAAAACTCTACTTAGTAGGAAAACCACTGCAGAAGCAGAAATTCCTTTCCTAAAAAACAAGACTTCAAGGGACATAAAATACAACTTTATCCAACAACACAACAAATGACATTTTATTGCTCTCCTTTCTTCCAGAAATCTATTATATAACTGTATCTATCTGCGAAGATACCTAGATTCCAATGTACACAGACAGAGATACAGACAGGTGTGTGTGTGTCTATTTTTTAAGAACAGTACCTATTGCAATGGTCAGGTCTCTTCTGAGTGCAAATCCCACTAGTCTCTGCGATTCCTTTGACATTATGACAGGGAAGCCATTGTAGCTGGTTTCGTTGATCATGTTTTCTACATCGTCCACTGTCATATTGTCCTGTGTCAGGACGGCCAAGGGGGGGTCATTCCTTCGAGGCCTCATGACATCGGCAGCCAGGGTGGTATGAGTGAATTCTTCTTTTGCATCCAAGAAAGGGTATCCATTTAACCGGATGTGCGCCTCATAAATGCCTTCCCTCCCGAAGGCATCGCCGACCCATTTACTGGTCATCACTGCAGCCATAAGGGGGACAATGTATTCCAGGCCTCCAGTGAGCTCAAAAACAATGACCACCAAGGAGACAGTCATCCGCGTCACGCCACCTGAAAAAGATGAGCACGCTGGTCAGGAGGGACGGGCCTCCCACTGACACTGGTGGGGCTCTGCTCTAGGCTGCTGAGCACGGTGCGAACGTAGGCTGGTGAAAAGGCTTATCATCAAAAACCACCACTGCTCTCTTAGGGCAATTAGCACTATTCTGTAAGACCTGGAGAAGCACCAATTTCCTTTATTTAAACACAGAGGACTATTAAAATATTTCAAAACCTGTTTACTTCTTCATTCATATAAAAACGACCAGAGCCAACCAACTAAAACAAGTTTGCGTTTCAGTTTCACTGCTGCAGCAACATGTATTTCACCCTTATTCAAGCTTATTATTCAGTATTACGGAATCTGATGAAGCACATCAGAGCTCACTTGTTAAATGTCTATTTACAAATTAAACATCTATGTGGGTAGAATATTAATTCAACACATTTATTTCCTCTCAATCTTTTCAGAGCAAGCGAAGTGTTTTGGTGCCTTGTGATCTATATGCTTCCCCCACCGGGAAGTCATTGCCACGAATTGTGTTCTCTGCACAGACGCCCCTGGCCCGCGGCCCTCCAGCTACTGCTGCACTTGCCCTGTCTTCAGCTCTTCATGCTTTGTTGCTGTGCTTGTCTCATTTTCCTACTGTAAAAAGACTTCACTCTCGCAGAAAACAGCACTTAAAACGCAACTCCTCTTCTTGCCTGAAGAGTCTCCCACTCCAATTCCAGTGACTCCACAGCGGGGCGCGTCCCTCTCAACAGCCAAGAGTCACTCTGGGCTCCTGCCTTTAATCCCCACACCCAGGCTCTCACCTAGTTAGTTCTACCTGATGTGCTTGGCCGACTGTCTATCCATAGGTCCCGTTCTCCATACCCTCACTATTACCAACCTGGTCCGGACCAACGAGACTCAGTTCCATCATGCTAATCCTATTTCACCTTACCTCCTGGACACCGGCTCCATCACCTCCCATCCCTCGTCCAAGCCATTTTCCCAGCTTAGCCTGTCCTAAGAACTACTTCCACCATACTGCTCCTCTGCTCAGAAACCTCCCAGGGTACCTTGTGGTTCCTACTGCATGAAGAGGAAGCTCTTCCTTTTTGTTTTTTAACCTAAAAGCAGGAAGAAAGACTTGCTGTATACTGTGCAACACACTATGCCCAGCATGTTCTGGTCAGTTTGCAAAGGCTCTTTTTAAAGTGAGCACTTGTTTACCAGGCACTGTGCTAACAGCTCTATGTGCATTTATCTCCTTTAACCCTCAAAACAAGCGTAGCAGATAAGTAGTTATTACCTCACTACAAAGATAAGAAAACTTAAAAATTAAAGAAGTTAAGGAACTTTCCCCAAGTCATCAACTCTTGCACAGATCTAACCAATCCCAAATACAAAGTCACCCTCACATAAATCACTACCTTTTCGGAATCTGACTCCTTCTTTCCAATCCAACTTCAATACTGTCGGTCTCTTCAAGGCCCTGTGAATACTAATTGACTCCGTCTCCGCTCGTTATATCCTTCACCAAACTCCTGTCCCTTACACTAAGCAAAGCTCATGCTACCCGACCCGCGCGCTCCGACCCCTCCCTCTGGACTGCCACGCTTCTCGCACTCGGCACCTTGTGAACAGGCCTGCGGCTCACTGCCGCCCGCTCAGCGCCGGTCCGGTCTCCCCCACTGCAGCGCAGGGCCGTGCTTTCTCCCTCTGTGCTGTGCTCACCGCGCCCAGCACAGCGTTGACACAAGGTGGACACTTAATAAACTGCTACTTGGGTGATAATGAGTCTGTCCTTCACTTTCATTTGATATTACACTTTTGAAGATCCATAATTATACAATTTTTACTCACTGAACAAAATAAGTCAAAATACCATCTATTATCAAAGTTGTTGACATTTTAAATATCAAAAGAAATAACTGTTTTTCATGTCCAAGAGAATAAATGGACTCAAGTATTTAATGGAGATATTCTGCTTTTCTTTTCACAAAAAGAAGTTACCTTTTTTCACTTTGCTGTAAACGCCCCATCAATGTAGGGCTGGTAAAGAAATCTCTTCCTAAGGCCGACAACACGCCACTGCAAAGCCCAAGTAAAGCTACTGTGAAGCTCTGCTGAGTGAAAGCACAGGAACGCTGCTGCAGCGGCCACAGGCGGGCCGGGATCCTGGACAAGATCCAAACCGAGCCCACGCCATACACCGAGGTTTGCTGGTATTAAGAAGACACTAACTATTATTACGTATTTGCATTAAGTGTCCAGAGACGGAAACAGTGAGGACTACACTGCAGGGCAGCCATCACCGATGGGCTGTGGCACTTCTGTTAAAGCACTCCCTCCTCTCTGGCCTGGCCCCAGTGCCCCTGCAGGAGGCCTGAGCACAACCTCACTGCCGCCTTCTCCCAGGTCCTTACCCAAGCACGCAGCAGCGCCCACCATGGCATACAGGCCAGGCGTGATGCAGTCAGCCCCCACCTCACACCACTCCTTGAAGATGAACCAGTCGTGGTGGTAGTACGCGAGCTGTTCCACAGCGATGCCCACGATCCTTCCCGCAATCGCTCCGATGGCCATGCTGGGGATGAACAAGCCTGATGGAACCTGGAACACAAACCAAGGGCTGAAGGAGGCAGAGATTCGCCATTGATGTACTTGAAACCCACTGGAACGCTTTTGATTCTTTTCACATTCTGTTTATGCAGTGAAGTCCTAGTACAAATAAAACTAGGGCAAAATCTTGTTATGAAAGTACCTTAACAATTCCATGAATTCAGTTACAATGCAACAAACCACATTCTCCAGGCCAAAAAGAAAGTAACCAAGGGTTATTTATCCTTTAGCTCAGGGGTTCCCTAATGCCAGTCCCTAAAAAAATCTTCATTAGTCCATGGTGAAATGGGGAAAGGAAAAAAAAGGACAGTATGAAGCAGTTTTCGTAAAACTAAATACATTCAGTTTGAAGTATTAACCTTTAACCAAGATTAGGTCCTTCCTACATTATCTGCTGCTTGTCAAATGATAGAAATGCTATTCCTCTTAAAATGGTACGATGTAAAGTGGGCGATCTTATCAAGTGATATACATGCACACATATATGGATTAATTAAAAGGAGAAAAACATGTATTAAATTTAATGAGAATAATAGCAATAGCAAATACCTTGAGAAAGATCACTTAAAGATTATTAGAAGACCTATAACTCTGAATTGCTCTGGATATGAAACAAACTGAGCATAAATCAATGGTACATTAAGGGTGTGTAAGAATCATTAAAAGGACACCAAAACAAAAGGGATCAAAACACGGTTTATACTCTCCTGCTAGTCGGGATCCTTCAGCCGGAGTGGAGGGCAATGTGAGCTTAGCAAAGGCCTGCCAACTGCTTTCTGTAGCTCAGACAAGGCTAAGAAAGCCGAGATTTACAAAAAATCAACTTACTGCAGCAACAGAAGCTTGACTTGCTAAGGAAAAAAATGAGAACTTTGAGGTTTTCTTATTACTTAGTCTGACACCCTGGACAACTAAACACAGCAGACCCAAGGAGAGATTCTATTTCAAAAACTAACTCCATTCCTATTTTGGTGAAATTAAGGGGCTACTCCGCATAATTTACATCTGTGAAAGCACATGATTACCAGTGAATATAACTATTATTACATGAACTACAGGTGCAATAATTTAAAGAACAAGCTGATTCCTCTTATACATCATGACAGTCGTATAAAAGAATTGTACTTACCGGCAAATCACTAATTAACAAATGTTACTGTCACTTTCATAAGTTCAAAAGAAACAATGTGCCTGGACATAAGGCCAAGATGCCTTTAGTCCTTCATGAAAAAAGGCTTGGTGCTCACAGACCTGGTAACTTAACCCTGGGTCTGTAGTGTCCTTTCGAGCTAATGCCTTCTGGAGATATGGGAAGCGGAACGACAGCTCCTCAAAGGCATCCATATCCTAAACCCTGTGAATTCACTATGTCACATGGCAAGGAGAACTAGGTCACAGACGGAATCAAGGTGGCTGTCAGTGGACCTAGAACACGAGATTATCCTGCATCACCTGTGTGAGCACAGAGTCATCACAAAGATTTTTTAAACGTGGAAGAAGGATTTAGATGAGTTAGTGCCAAATGATGAAATAAAAGACTCGACCAGCCATTGACTAGCCTTTGAAGAGGGAAGAAGGGGGGGGCATGAGCTCAGGAATGCAGGCAGCCTCTAGGGGCAACAAAAAAATGGACTCTCCCCTAGAAACTCCACAAATTCCTGTGGTCACCTTCATGAGGCCCACTTCGGACTCCTGATCTCCAGAACTATCACAAATGGGTGTGATTTTAGGCCCCTAAGTTTGTGGTGACGTATTACAGCAGCACTGGGGAACTGATATGTAAGTGCTCTTGAAACATGACCACAAATCACCTGACATTCCTCCCCACAGGGGGAGTGTCTGGCCCTCCACCTGAACCTGGGTGGGCCTCTGTGACCACCTGGACAAGCGGAGTGCAGCAGGAGACGTGCTGCGCGCCTTCTCCGGCATGATCAGAGATGCCCCTGGTGCGACACTTGCTGCTGGAGCCCTGAGCTGCCATGCAAAGCAATCTAACCACCTGGAGGTGACCATGCTGGAAAAACCACAGAGTGAGCTGTCCCAGGGGCCCAGAGGTCCAGCCCCCATGTCTGCATCTCCCAGCCCAGGGGCTAGGCGCACGGCAGTCTCTGAGACAAGCAGCCCCAGCCACGTCCCGTGACGACTGAGTGAGAGCGCGTGAACAGAACGCGCCGGCGGCGTCCTCCCCAAGCCACCGAGCCAACAGAAGAGCAAAAGCAGGAGCGCGTCTGCACAGCTGGGTCTGGGTGCAACCTGCCACCCAGACACCTCGCTCAACTATGCATCCTGAGGAATTTCTGTCATTATTCAAAATTAAACCGAAAAGATAGGGAAGAATGTTTTCTGCCTACACGTATTGAACAACCGCCTTCAGATAAAAATTCTCACTCCACATACAAGTTCTGAACATGCCAGGATGACTCACATGTGCCCTCACACCAGCACTTACCTTGATACCGAAAGTGAACACCGTCATCACAATTTTAAAGACGAGCGCCAGGCACAGCTGCCATATAGCCGAGTATACGCCAAGGCCTGCTGGGCGGTCGGGGATGTCATCGACGACCCTGCTGGCGTTCATGTCGTTCCTGTAGTCACAGAGAGAGGAGGCCTCCAGGGGGCCGCAGTCCGTGAAGAGCTCCCTGATGAGCTCACTGGTGTTGAGCCTCGTGTACGGGTTCGGGAAGGCGATCACGGCGGTGATGGCCGCCACTGCGATGACCTCCAGGACAGGGTACTTCCCAAACCGGGTGGATTTGCGCCGACGGCACCAGGCAATGTTCGCCCTGATGAAAAAGGCTCCCCACAGCCCTCCAAACACCCCGAGCAGGATGAAGGGGAACAGTTCAAACAGGTACCATGGCGTGTGATACTCCACATAAAACAGGACCAGGCGGCTGTTACCAAACGGGTTGATGGATCTCAAAACAAACGCAGCCACCAGGGCAGCAAAGAAAGACCTCCACAGGGTTTTCAGAGGAAAGTAATAGCTGACCTGGGAAAGGAAGGCAGGGGAACCAAGGCTTTGGCTTACACGACGCTCCTGACATGACCTGAATGGTGAATAGTACAGTTCTCAATTTTGCTGCAGCTAGAATTTACATGTAATGGGTTTTAACTGTGCTGAGAAAAATATCTATGTCTGACTGACTTTTGTTATCTCATGATTACAAATTTACTTATAAATAGACTGCAAGTGGTAATAATTATTTAAAATACCCAGCATATTTTTATTTTCAAAATGAGTGTCATCTCCAATTAAATCATGGTAGTTAAGAATAAATGTACCACCACCAATTCTGGTTAGCTCATGAGGAAGCATTTAATCTGCCTCTCCTATACCGAAGAAAAAAGAAGGAAAGAACACAAATGACTGGAAGAGAAAAGTACATTTTAAAACATTCCTAGTCAAATTTTTGTATAAATATGTAAAAAGCCTTATGCGCCAATGAGAATACAAAAAAACTATTCCGCTGAAGAAACTAAAATTACTTTCTTAAACATCAGCAACTGCAACAGAAATGATCACCAGGAGAACTTACAAAGCCAATTAAGGAATTGATTAGACATTTTAAAACAAAAACTGGGCTATAATTCAGCCTAGAGAGACAGAGGGTTTTAAATGTTTTTGAGTCAAATTCGCATCTGCTTACTTTTAAGTATGTCAACAAAGTTAAAATTTTAGATAATCACTAATATTTATAAATGAACATCTTATTTCCCCCAAGTAAGAAACACAGCATATTACTTTTTATGTAAGAAGGATTGAAAAATAACTTTATGAACATAAATTTGAAACCTTGACAACAAAGTCTATACCTATTACGCTAGCTGTCAAACTGAAAAGTGTGCCAAAACACATGCGTGGTGGCCATCATGCATGACCTCAGCCACCGTGTGTCTCTGCCTACCTCCTCCAGGCTGAAGAGGACTCCTCCAATGGGCGCACCGAAAGCGACAGAGACGCCTGCCGCCGAGGCAGCCGACAGCACCTGCGGAAGGGGTGCAGCTGCTACTACCACCTCAGATGCCCCGGCAGCTACCACGCTGCTTGGACTTTTGAAGTGCTGCTTCTGAATTTAACTCACATGCCTCCCTCCTCCCCAAGCAAAGGCAAATATTTATTTCTCCTAAAAAGATTTTTTTCCTCTTCTGCTTAAATTGAAAGGTCATTCATATATCTGGTCAAAAAATATCTGTGTGAGACATACTAATGTGGATGTAAAGGAACAGAGGCAATGAATACAGACAATGCCCAAGGGGTGTGTGTAGGCGAACGAAGAGCGCGCTGGCTGGCTGGGGGAGAGCTGTATGTCCACCTGTAACAGGGTATCATCCCTCGGATTTCAGAACTACCTGCTCCACCGTTAATTGTTACTCTGCACCAAATCCTAGTAAATATCCTGGCCACTTAAAACCTACCAGAGGTTCTCTGTATTTTCACTACCCTAAGTTCCTCTGGAAATACACCACTGCCAGCCTGCAGAGCCTCATCCTGAGAACACAAATAGTGGCCACCTGCAAATATGCAGTCTCCCGGGCAGAACCCCTGCAGCAGTTAAAGGAGGAGCAGAGCCCACAGACTTCATGGATCCTCTTCCCAGACCCTCGTCTGTCCTATGGACACTGCCTACTCCCACCAGTGTGCAGCCAGCAACACACATAAATTCAGTGGGCGTTTATGTAACTACTTTTCCAAGAGTCTTTAATTCTTTTGTCTTCCCTCCAGTAAATAGTTGAGCTACCAAAGCACTTCCTCAAATGGTCAATTTTTACATTTTTCAAAGGGAAACTAGAAATAATCAAAATTAAATTATAAATGATTAAAAGCATGTACTCCACAGATAGGCTGCTCTTTGGTAAATAAAAATAAAACAAGTATTTGTTTTAATTAAAGTGTACATGGCTTCAAGAACATAAACTCTGTTTATCTGAAGGAGGAGAGAGAGCAAATTCAACTCACTCTTGTGTTTGCTTCCACTAACAGGACTGCAGACAACAAATGTAGCTGAATTTGCTGGCTCTGCCTTTACTGCAACAGGCAACAGGCTTTTTCAATGAGGCGAACACCCGAGCACCTGTCACTCACACACATTTAATGTTTCATGCATTATCTACGAAAGACATAATTTAAAAACACCACGCAACTCTGCACATAGGAAGAAAAACAAAATATGATGCCTTCATATTTCAGCTTTCAACTAACAAGTAAAACTCTAGCTATTTATAGATCAAGGTGACAATGTCATAAACAATACTAATCTGTACAGTGTATACCTTAAAATTTAGGTGTATTTAATTAACATTTTCTAACAAACCACATTTTGTACTTATAATGACAAATAAAAATCATCCCCAAAATGTCAAGGTACAACAGTGAGTAAAGGAACTGAACTGGGGTGACAGGTGCTACAGTTCCATCTTAGCCACCAACTTCCACAATGGAGTACAGCTACAGTTCTCCTTTGTCTGAACACACACAGACGTGTCCACACAGTCACAGAAGTGTCACCCTAACACTGTGCTATGTAATCATGGGCAAGTTAGCAGCTTTAAGCCCTGGTTTCCTGTCTATAAATGAGGGTAACCGGGCCAAGTCAATAGGAATTAACCGTGGAATTAAATTTTAACATGCAAGTACGTGCTTGTCACAAAACCAGATACACAGTAAGCAATCAATAGTATTAGCTATTTCTGTTCTATAGGAGAGCATTGGGATCCTATTATTATTCACACATAAAACTGTGACACTCTGAAATGTTCTTTTAGACCACTGACTGCCAATACAAGGACAAATATTTCAGTGCTAAATTAAAATGAACCAGAATTATTTCAACTGAAAAATTAAATAGCTTGATAAAAATATTCTACTTTTTTCCTTAAAAACAGCATAAAAAAAACAGCAGATGAAAGGCCTTGTGCTAGGGCCAGAGAACCCAGGATTCCCAACACTTGATGATATATAAAATATACTTCAAAAACACAAAGAGCTCTGGAACATGTAGGCCTGAAGAACAGACTGGCAAAACAGGAAGGGATTGGGCCCCACAGTCCAAAGCTAATACAGAAGATGGCAGGAGTCCACATTGCTTCTAGAAAATATCCAGAGCAATCTAGAAACATCAGGGGACTCTTTAATATGTACGGTTTAAATGTCTCCTGGAAATCTCAGATGATAAAGGAAACTGCCCTAAACAGGGGAATAAAGGACTCCCACGTCTCCTTTAATGCAAATCTCTGGTTTAGACCTCAGGAGGCCCCAGAGGCCCTCAGAACTTTCCCGCAGTGCTGCACACTCTCTGCAGATGGCACCCCCTCCCACTGGCATTAGACATGTCATGATTGCCCAATCCTGGAGAAACACTGCAGGCAGGGAATAAAAGCAAAGACACTGCTACAGTTGGGAATCACTTCAGAGGAGGAAAGGCATAAGACAGAGCAAAAACAAATGGCTCGACCTCTGTAAAATCCCATGGAAACCAATGGGCACAGGCAGTCTGCCTGACTTCTCTGAGACAGAGACAGGAGTGCCTTAGGAGCGATGGGCGGAGGGGGGAGTCTGGAGAAACATTACAGATTATTCAAAAAAGGGAAAAGAAGCACGAATAATTCCCAAGCTAAATTTTTAATCTGAAGACAAAGAGTTTACCCAAAAAGAGTAAAACGTAATCTTTACACCAGGAAATTCTTCAATGATGTAATAACAGATATTTATCTTTCAAATAAACTACAAAAGACTTACCTCCCTTTTTTTAGCTTCATTTGTGCTATACTTTGGAAAGAGGTAGGAAAAGATATTTCCACAGCAACAGGCAACATGAACCAGAGGACCTTCTTTTCCTAAACTCAGACCCGATGCCACAGCCAGTACTAATGTGATGGTTTTAATCATTAAAGTCCACTTTCCCAAGTAACCTCTGATGATGAATCCACTCAAAATAGTTTTAATCTACAATGGAAAGATTAAGATGGCTTAGTTTACTCTAAAAAATATGAGAACCTAATTAACTTGTTACCCTCCTCTTTTACTCACAAAACCACCTTACAAATTTTAGCAGACTATGAACAATTCACAATTAATTTTTCAAAAGCTTTAACTATTACGCTACATATAGTAAATCTGTACCATATTCTAATTCTCTTCCGAAGCAAAGATGGAAGTAGCCCTATCTCATGAATAAAACTGAAATGCCAGGGCACATTAAAGAGAATACAGACCTTAATACTAGGGTTATAATTACAATCAGGAAATGGGAAATCTGAGTATTTCTATTCTAGAAATATAGTACAGCTAAATATATTTCAGGCATTCTACATCAGGAATAAAGATAACATTTTTCTATATATCAAGAAGGATGAGTGACAAATGCTAAATGCTACATGATATGGTTCCTTATTAAAGATATTCTTAATAAATTCAGCTTGGCAAAGAACACTACAGTTTAGTTTTAAAAAGAAATGCACTTGAAAAATTGGTAACTTATTTAAGACAGAAAATTAGAAAGAGGAAAGAAATGAATTCACATCATGTTCAGCCCTAAGTATCCTGTACTATATAAATTACTGTTGTTAATTACTAAAACTCCCAAATTTGTATTATTGACATACTACAATCAAATGTTTATTTTAAAGTGGAAAATGGTCATAAATATTATCTGCCAAATTCAGTAATTATTAACTTTTCTAACTAAAAGGCAGTTATAAAAAGAGGATAACTGTATTCAAATCAAGCTAATAGCAAAGGTCAACTAGTCCATCAAAGAACTTTAGGCCAGAAGATATTGTTTTCCAGGTTGTTGGTGTTTAACGAGTCTTCTGATACTTGTTTTGTCACTTGCTAAATTAGTGACGAGGGAGAAAACCTCCACAGCACATCACCAAACGACTATGAAGAAGAATTCCTCTTGATGTCCACAGTCAGCTTCCATTTATTAAATTTTCTTCTTCATATTATAAACAAAAAATATCCCCAGAAAAACTAGTTTTGTCCCCCAAAGGCAAAAAGATAAGCAATATAACAATTACTAACTGTCTAATGAAACCAAACACCGATGGCTTACCTCCGGAATCCCAGAGCCACAGGCATATGGAGCAAAGACCTTCACAAGGGAAACGGCAAGAAAGGCAAAGCTCAAGGCCCAGAAGATATACATTATGTAGTTCATGATGTAAGAACCAGGACCCTAAAAGGCAAAGCATTCAATAGTATGAGCTTGATTTACAATGCGCCTCTACAGCCACTGCTTGCCACATAAGGAACTTGGGTGGAACTTGAAAAAGTCTCCTCACTTACAGCCACAGTAATAAAACTTTCATATGAACAAAATACTTAAGTAGAATTGAAAACGTATTTCTATACATACCAAGGAGCCTTAATCTACTTAATGTTTCTCCTAGTTTTTTTTCTGATTCCTAGGGTCTTGTTGCCAAAAGTCTCTGCTGTACTTCAGTATCTGCTCACCCACAAGCCACTCTCTGGAAATAGCTGGTGAACACAAGACTTCATTCTCACGGGATTTCATTCTGCTGCAATTCTCCTGAAGGTCAACTGAGAAACAAGACACTGCCTATCTTACCAGAAAAATCTATTCTTTCTAGCTCTAAAACTCATCTCTAAACAAATTTTTAATATACATCCATATATTTGTATGAAACCACAAAGACCCCAAACAGCCAAACCAATCCTGAGAAAGAACAACAAAGCTGGGAGTATTATGTTCCCTGACTTCAAGGTATACTACAAAGCTGCAGTAATCAAAACAGTATGGTCTGGCACAAGAACAGATCCCCAGACCAATGGAACATAACAGAGAGCCCAGACATAAACCCACACATCTATGGTCAATTAATATATGATAAATGAACCATGGATATACAATGGGGAAATGACAGCCTCTTCAACAACTGGTGTTGGGAAAACTGGACAGCTACATGCAAGAGAATGAAACTGGTTTACTATCTAACTCCATCACAAAACTAAACTTGAAATGGGTCAAAGACCTAAATATAAGTCATGAAACCATAAAACTCACAGAAGAAAATATAGGAAAAAAAATCTCTGGAATATAATCATGAGCAACTTTTTCCTGCATACATCTCCTCAGTCAAGGGAAACAAAATAAAAAATGAACAAGTAGGAGGGACTACATCAAACTAAAAGACTTCTTTTAGTTTGCAAAGGATATCATCAGAACAAACAGGCATCCTACAGTGTGGGAGAATGTATTGTAAACAATTTATCTGATAAGGGGTTAACATCCAAAATACATAAAGAATTCATACACCAACCATAAAAAGAAAAGAAATCCTGCCAATTGCAACAACATGGATGGATCTAGAGGTATTATGCTCAGTGAAATAAGTCAGACAGAGAAAGACAAATACCATATAATTTCACGTATTTGTGTGGGAGAATATATTGTAAACGATCTATCTGATAAGGGGTTAACATCCAAAATATATAAAGAATTCATACCCAGCCATAAAAAGAAAAGAAATCCTGCCAATTGCAACAACATGGATGGATCTAGAGGTATTATGCTCAGTGAAATAAGTCAGACAGAGAAAAACAAATACCATATGATTTCACGTATTTGCGGAATATAAAACCAAAGCAAAACAGAAGGAACAAAATAGCAGCAGATTCATGGAGATACTGAGAAGTCCTAGTGTTTACCAAGGGGGAGGAGAGGAGCAGGGGTGGGGGGTGGGGGAGGTGGATAAAAGGGCACAATAATTCGCAACCACAGTATTTGGTCATGGGGACTGCTGAATCACTGTGATGTACATTTGAAATCAACATAAGATTGTATATTAAAGATATTTTAATAAAATTATTATCTCTAGAGATACATCCTCAAGAATGTGATATCTATGAGTTAAAATAATTCAACAAGGAAGTGACTGGAAATACAGATGAAGGGTTGCCAGGAGCTGGTAATTGTTGAAGCTGAGTGTTGGTTCCCTGGGCATTCCTGGTACTCTTCTTGACACTTTGGTATTTTGACGTTATCCACAGTTTAAAAAAAAAAGAATTCATATACCTCAACACCAAAAAAAACAAATAACCCAATTGCAATATTGGCAGAGGACCTGAACAAACATTTTTCCAAAGAAGAAATATGTATGGCCAACAGGCAAATGAAAAGATGTGCCACATTGCTAATCATCAGGGAAATGCAAATCAGAACGACAATGAGATATGACCTCACAACAGTCAGAATGGCCAATATCCAAAAGACAAGAAATAACAAGAAGTAACAGAAATACTGTATAACTCAGTAATTCCACTTCTAGGAATTTACCTGAAAAAAACAAAAAACAAAAAACCCTGATTTAAAAAGATACGTGCACTCCTATGTTTATTGCAGCACTATTTACAATAGCCAAGACAAAGAAGCAACCTAAGTGTCCATCAGTGGATGAGTGGATAAAGAACAGGTGGTACATACATACAATGAAATACTATTCAGCCATAAAAATGAAAGCAATCCTGCCATTTGCGACATGGATGGACAAAGAGGGTATTATGCTCAGTGAAATAAGCCAAGTGGAGTGAGACAAAAACCATGATTTCACTTATTTGTGGTATCTAAAAACAAAACAAAACGAACAAAGTAGCAGTAGACTCATAGCCAGCATGAGAAGTGACTGGTGGTTCCCATGGGGGAGGGGAGGGGGCAGGTGGGTGGGGAGCAGAAGGGAGATAAAGGGGCACAAAAATTCTCAACAATAATGTAAGTTGGTCACGGGGATGGAAGTACAGCATAAGAGAATATAGCCAATGATTCTGTAACATCTTCCTGTGTTGATAGATAGTAACTGCACTAGTGGGGGTGAGGATTTAATAATATGGGTAATGGTTGAACCACTGTGTTGTACACTTAAAACCAATGCAAGACTGTGTATCAAAGATACTTCAGTAAAAAATACATCTTTATACGATCATGTAACTAGGCATTATACAATATTCTAACTTCTAAATAGTCTCCATTATAGAACATCAAGAATAGTAAAATAAATACTGAAGTACTATAATGCCACAAGTAAAAATCTATGGCTTTCTTCAAGACATCTCCCTTTAGAAGGCTTATTTAACTAATTTTTTAATAATTCACATTTCCTGAACAATCATGGTGCAATATATAAGCATTGTTAATAACATTGACCTCGTATTTACCTTTTGTGGTTATACATATCCTATTTCAATCCTTTCCTACGATAAGAAATAGTTTACATCATAATTAAGTAGATTTGTCTGTGGCTATGCAGCTAGTTAACCAATACACGAGCTTCTTGAAACAATACTGACATTTTACTTGCTGCAATGTTTCTTTACATTTTCCACTGCATCCAATTACATTTCTTTCTTTTCCCCTTTAACGCAGTTGAAATCATCTAACGTGGTTAATTCTACAGTTAAATGAATTGAAGATTCATTTCACTATATCAATTATTAATTCACAAAGAGACAAAGCAAGACCTACCTCTGCCTGACCTATGATTAATTCCGCCCATGTTTTCCACTGCGGACATTTATCCCTCTCTTCGAACGTCGTCTCATTGGACCCCCAGCAGCACTGCTCGTGATTGTACCACAGGGCAGTAAGGCAGACGCCCTCCTTGAGGTCGGTCATCCAGTCAGCAGCAATGTCTATTAATCCAGCCAGTGCCCCTGTGAAAACATACTGGCGATGGTAAAAAACATAGATCCATTTTGGGGGAGTCAAGAACTGTCAAGTTAAAAGGGTCAAGGAAAGCTGGGGACTTCCTATAAATAAAGGGTCACATAGGGACTAATATTAACATGAATTTAAGACTTTCAAATCTTAGTCATAAATAAGTATAAATTTCTTTTAAAAAACTGTGAATAGCTATTCTTTAAAATAAAATGGTTATTCTTTGTTTGAAATTAAAACTGTATTATTCATTGTGATTTTTTTAAATGTGTTTTCAAGACACTAAAACATTTTCAAAAGACAACTACCTGGCAGTAGTTCCCAAGTCCGGTTACTGAAGTCAGGGTTCAAAACTTATTTAATAGATCTACAAATTACCTTAACCTCATTAAATTTTAATGTCTATTAGAAATAACTGTGAAATTCATAACATTAATGAATTAATGTGACAGATTTTCTGTTTTTTCTTAAATTACAGAAAATCAAATATATCAAGATCATTTTATTGACTGAACACAAAAGAAATACAAAAAATTTATGGTCAAAATCTAGGCTCTTCTATACAAAAAGGTCAATAGGTCATATACATACTGGCCCCAAAATTCTTGTGCATACCAATTAGAGATATCAGTATTTCCCTCTATTCTCCACATAAATTTAATTTTTTTCTCACATTCTTCTGGATATAACCTTCCATGGGGGAAGCTGAAGGTCATTAAAATAGTTCTTAATGTTTGTTTTCCAATCTCCAACTGCCAGCTTAAAATCCACACATAAGGACTTGTGGGCACTCTAGCATGGTGGTTAAAAGTACAGGCTCTTGAGCTAAACTGCCTGAATTTAAAGATTTGCTTGGCCGTTTACTGCAAGTACTTAACACTTCTCTATGCTTCAGTCCCCTCATCTGTAAAATGTAAAACAACAGCACTTACACCGCAGGATCGTCATGAGGGATACACACATGCAGGCTTTCAGAACAGTGCACAACAGGAGGTACTGAATAAAACTGGCTGTTTATGACGCTGATGTTAAAGAGATACTTTATGTTTCACCTGGTCCAAACCATGTATTTTCAGATAGAGAAACTGAGCCCAGAAAGATCAACCAAACTGGACAGACCCTTAAAGTGACAGAGCTGACACACCAGACTCCAAAGCCTCCTGCCTCCTAGTCTTATGTTTACGAATTTTTTTGAAGAAAAATCCAACAGTACCTGAAAAAAAAAAGAAATTATAAGGAGACTATTTATGGTTCTGTGAGTCAAAAAAGGACCGATGGCGATCTCCTCACCTGATGCCAGCCCCGTCAGCGTCACCACTAGCCACCCTGACCACGCGTCATAGAGACTTTTCGCCATTTCCCACGCTGACTCTTTCTTTTTGCTGTTGATCTGAAATTTGAAATGTTTATGCTTCATTTTTCAAACTACAAATAGAAGTCACAATTCTAGAATCCATCAATTTTTCTCAGTTATTATACATGGAACAATATTTTCTAAACTAAAGAATAGGAAAGGTGAGTTTGGGGCAGAACTGTGTCAGACAACTACTACACCTGTAAGCAGATGACAAGCATTTACTCAGAGTCTGTATTTCTAACAAGAAACTCAGAATGTGAGTGCAAACCACACAGAGTCTGACCTAAACTGAAACTGAATCAAATCAAGCTGGTATACATCTTTTATATAAACAGGATATAAAAGAACTCAGTATTACAACTGAAATGACTGTCATCCCATGGTCATCCTCTGGTGTTAGCAGTTAAGTACATTACCTTATTCTTTAAAAGGTTAGGTCAATGAAAGACAGTACCACATCCTAAATGTAGTCACATGAATACAGGGCTGCCACTAACTGTAGGCCTCTAACTGCAGGTCTGAGAGTTCCAATCCTGTCAGTAGGGTCCAGAGGCTCTCTTTTATCACTGCAGAGGGCAGAAATGTCCTCTATTGATACAGTGGAGGAGATAAGATTAGCAGGATCATAAGAGGTTTGATTTCCAGATCTCACTCTAGGAAGACACAAGAAGGCAAGTCTCGGATGTGAGGGCGATTTGGCTACGACATCTGTCACCCATTGATTGTCAGGGTTGGTTCGGCTGATCCAGCTGGCTAGGCGGATGTCCCCTTCCTCCCTCACCAGGCCATGTGCGTCCCTCCGGAAGCTGCATGCTCAGCTGAAGAGTATGACTTTCCCCAACAGAGGAAGGCTGCTTCTCGGTCACGGGTATACGAGTAGCTGTGCTCTTCTGCTAGAACTTTCAAATGAGCTCCCAAGAAGGCAGGCCTCTCCCCTCTTAGTAAGAAGGCACTTCTAGACCCATCCCTAACTAGTCCAAACCTCCTCCTGTTCTACCAGGATTGCTGCTTCAAACAGCCATATTCTCAGCCTAGGACTTTAGTGCCGACTGCCCCCCAGGAGGGCTACAGTTGGAATGCAATGATCTGGTCTATTTTAAGGCACAGGCTCCTTAAGAAGACTCCATAAGTTCTGGTTGAATGAGGTAACTTCACTCCTTCTATACCATAAGCTACCTAACACAGGTATTAGCTACTCTTTAGTACTGAAGGTAGGTCATTTCTTTCGAAGATAATCATTAAATCCCCTGTTGCTTTTTACAAGATAGCTGTAATATTTAATAAAATGTGATACGATTAAGTAAAAATTTAGAAATCATCTAAATGTTCATCAATATAGTACTGGTTAAATAAACTGTAGTACATTTAGGTAATGAAAAACTCTGCAGCCATTAAGAAAGAACGAGATATCTGCAGTGTTACATGCGTCAGGAGGACGCAGGGTAGATGAAAGTGTGTGTAGTATGCTACCATTTACCTAAAAAAGACATGTATATAATAAATACATTTGTATTTTAAAAAATAAAGGGATAAACCATAAAACTGAAAATCTAAATCATTACTTTCAAGGAAGGGAGGCAGTAAGGTGGAAGGGGCAGGGACTTCAAAACAAAGTAATCTGTGCAACCCTAGTGGGAGAAACATTCTGGACAAAAGGGACTCTAAAAAGAGAAAACACCACAACTTTTCAGTAAGCACACCACCAGTAGCAGTGTTGGCAATATTTTGAAACTGCTGTGTGTGCACTGTGAAGTGAATCGAGGGATCATACGTGGGATGGTGAGATTTTGGGTGTGCCTCCAAGGAGATAGAGATTCAAGACTAGAGGTATAGGCTACACATAATGCCCAACCCAAAAATAATAAATGCCTTGGGGCAGAACTGTGTCAGACAACTACTACACCTGTAAGCAGATGACAAGCATTTACTCAGAGTCTGTATTTCTAACAAGAAACTCAGAATGTGAGTGCAAACCACACAGAGTCTGACCTAAACTGAAACTGAATCAAATCAAGCTGGTATACATCTTTTATATAAACAGGATATAAAAGAACTCAGTATTACAACTGAAATGACTGTCATCCCATGGTCATCCTCTGGTGTTAGCAGTTAAGTACATTACCTTATTCTTTAAAAGGTTAGGTCAATGAAAGACAGTACCACATCCTAAATGTAGTCACATGAATACAGGGCTGCCACTAACTGTAGGCCTCTAACTGCAGGTCTGAGAGTTCCAATCCTGTCAGTAGGGTCCAGAGGCTCTCTTTTATCACTGCAGAGGGCAGAAATGTCCTCTATTGATACAGTGGAGGAGATAAGATTAGCAGGATCATAAGAGGTTTGATTTCCAGATCTCACTCTAGGAAGACACAAGAAGGCAAGTCTCGGATGTGAGGGCGATTTGGCTACGACATCTGTCACCCATTGATTGTCAGGGTTGGTTCGGCTGATCCAGCTGGCTAGGCGGATGTCCCCTTCCTCCCTCACCAGGCCATGTGCGTCCCTCCGGAAGCTGCATGCTCAGCTGAAGAGTATGACTTTCCCCAACAGAGGAAGGCTGCTTCTCGGTCACGGGTATACGAGTAGCTGTGCTCTTCTGCTAGAACTTTCAAATGAGCTCCCAAGAAGGCAGGCCTCTCCCCTCTTAGTAAGAAGGCACTTCTAGACCCATCCCTAACTAGTCCAAACCTCCTCCTGTTCTACCAGGATTGCTGCTTCAAACAGCCATATTCTCAGCCTAGGACTTTAGTGCCGACTGCCCCCCAGGAGGGCTACAGTTGGAATGCAATGATCTGGTCTATTTTAAGGCACAGGCTCCTTAAGAAGACTCCATAAGTTCTGGTTGAATGAGGTAACTTCACTCCTTCTATACCATAAGCTACCTAACACAGGTATTAGCTACTCTTTAGTACTGAAGGTAGGTCATTTCTTTCGAAGATAATCATTAAATCCCCTGTTGCTTTTTACAAGATAGCTGTAATATTTAATAAAATGTGATACGATTAAGTAAAAATTTAGAAATCATCTAAATGTTCATCAATATAGTACTGGTTAAATAAACTGTAGTACATTTAGGTAATGAAAAACTCTGCAGCCATTAAGAAAGAACGAGATATCTGCAGTGTTACATGCGTCAGGAGGACGCAGGGTAGATGAAAGTGTGTGTAGTATGCTACCATTTACCTAAAAAAGACATGTATATAATAAATACATTTGTATTTTAAAAAATAAAGGGATAAACCATAAAACTGAAAATCTAAATCATTACTTTCAAGGAAGGGAGGCAGTAAGGTGGAAGGGGCAGGGACTTCAAAACAAAGTAATCTGTGCAACCCTAGTGGGAGAAACATTCTGGACAAAAGGGACTCTAAAAAGAGAAAACACCACAACTTTTCAGTAAGCACACCACCAGTAGCAGTGTTGGCAATATTTTGAAACTGCTGTGTGTGCACTGTGAAGTGAATCGAGGGATCATACGTGGGATGGTGAGATTTTGGGTGTGCCTCCAAGGAGATAGAGATTCAAGACTAGAGGTATAGGCTACACATAATGCCCAACCCAAAAATAATAAATGCCTATAGCACCCAGCCTGCCTATTTGCCATTTCCCTTCAAAGGAAAAAGAGCTCCAGGGAGAGATGGCTGACTCCAGTTTGGTGCAGAAAATGTGTAAGATAAGCTAGGATCGCTTTGTCTTCACAGAATACATCGGTCTAGTAAGGATATATCAAAGGACATAGGTACCCACCTAAATAAGCCCCTACTAGTCAAAAATTGAACAAGGGTATCAATAGGATAATAATTATGATGATTAAAACACTTAAAATATGCTTATATCCATGAGTGCATGAAGATACAGAAACAAAAATCAAACAAGCAAACATAAACCTCATTGGTCAACTGTGAGGATGCTAAGGAACCATGATTTCACATTTTCTCCCTTTTCTGTACAATCTGAACTTCAGGGAATCCTGAAGTTTTCTTTATAGAAATATTTAAGCTAATAAAAGGTTTTCTTTATAGAAATATTAAAGCTAATAAAAAAGGAATGACAATTAGATAACCTCCATTTTTCAAATACTGTAAAAATACAAAAATCATATAACATTGATTTACTTCAAAATAATTTGGAGTAGGATGGTTAAAGGGTTAATAAGTTCATGGGAGAAGAATTAGGTAAGTATATGTACTGACAGAGAAAGCTTTTTTTTTTTACACGTTTTAAGAACAATAGTAAGAACATCTATGTGTAGAATTCCCCAGCTTTAGAAAAAATTATGCTTATATAAGCATAGATCAAAATGGTATCAACATATCTAAAAAGAGATGACTGATAATGATTAGCTAGGACACTTCATGACTACTTCATACATTATTAGGTTATATAAAATGTCTTCAAGGACTGTGGACCACTTTCATAAATAAGAAAAAAGGGGTGTGTTGTCATTTCTTTAGCTTCAGTTTTCTCTAAAAATTTTAGGAACATCAGTGATTTTTTAAAAATTGTTTAATGAAATGTCAACATTGGGAAGAACCACATAGTGAACCAGTATTTTCCAAATGATCACTATGCGAAGTTACAGTGAACCAATGGATTTTAATAAAAGCTAAAAAGTTCAGAGGCAGTTTCAGGTCCCATGCTGCAGCTGCCCTCTAAGAGATGCCACCTGTCACCCTGGTGTGGTGGCAAAAGAATATCCACAGTGACCTAAAGAGGTTATTTCCAACTACTATTGTGTCAGGCTAGATTTTTAATTAAAACAACTCATTACAAAAGACTGAATGAAGGAGCAGGTATGAGAATCCAGCAGTTGTTATTAACCAGCCAATAATGAGATATATAAAAATGTAACACAACGTCATGCCCTTACTAAACACTTTGTTTGGGAAAAAAATTATTTCTCATAAAAATGTATTTTTATGTTAACATGTAAATGGTGTCTGTTACTGTTATGTTTAAATAAACCAGTATTTTTTTTAACTGCTCTGTTTTGTATCTAATACAGTAAACATCAATTAATATAACCACATACACTAGAGCTCCTTAGGCATCCTCAATACTTTAGTTTTAAAGGGATATGAGATGAAAGTTTGAGAATCATTGGACGGGAACACTGATTTCATGTGTTGTGTGTCTTAATTTCGGTTATACCCTATTTCTAATATTTCCAGAAAAGGTAAAATATTGACTGGAGAATCTCAGAAGCAATTGCTTTTCAAAAAAAACATAACCAAATTTCAATTTCAGGTTTAATATATATACATTAATATGAAAGGTTGTAACTAATTTGTATAAGCAGTGGTTTTCATTTACAAGTATATTTCAGACCTCAAAGTTATAAAAGCCCTTGTGAAATTCCTAATTTCATTTTCAAAGAGATTTTCTTTTCTTAAAAACATTTCAATTACATTATACCAGTAAGTCATGATCAACAATAAAAAGGATCCATAGTTGTACTTTTTTTAGTAAAAGCCAATTCTTGTTTTCACTAGTAATTCACTTCAACATCCAACATGCCCTGCAGGACTCAATTTATTGAGAAATATCTCAGAATTTGAAACCAACAATGGAGATAAGACAACAGCAAAACCTCACAGAACTACCTTCTTTTTGGGCACTAAGACTTATGTAGCAAGTCTTCCTTTTTGCTATAGCTGCTGCACAGACCTAAACCTGCTGACTTGCACATCTTGAACTTGGCTTGATATTCTGAACTCTTGTGCATGATTCCCCTTTCCTTCCTATTCTGTTATCTACTCTGTTGCTGTTACATTACATCAAATCTTTTCTGGATACATGCATATGTGGTACAAATACACTAAAAAAAAAAAAAAAATACATTAAAAAAACCATGTATTACTTACTTATAAAATGTAGAGATTTACTTAAATGTATTTTAATGTATAACATTTTGGTGGACTGAGACACTGGCAGAAATATATTATTAAATGATTTAATTATGCAGTATATTTAAAAAATATTGAAGACACATACCCGTCTATGCCTTTCTCTGTCTTTACATTTCTCTCGTACCCAGTCAATAGTATGGAAATCATCGTATGTACCCACACCTGGAATCGGCTCATCCAGAAGGTCCAGCAGGTGTGTAGAACTGTTGACGCTGCCTCCATTTGTCATCGTGTAGTGAGTTCCTACAGAGCAAAAAAGAATGATGAGCCTGTTTTATGAGAGACAATGGTGACTATGTAACTTTCTTAGAAGCTCATTAGTAATTCATAAAGAAATAGTAACACTTAAAATAATTACAATAAAATGAAGGAAAACATTAAGAAAAATTATCCAAAACTTGGAAATAAAGCAAAGAGATTATGGCATATCCTTTCAAACTCATATTAGAGAATCAAAGAAAACCTGCGTAACAGTTTTCCAATGCTCAGAGGAAGACAAAGTTGTTTGAACTACTATGTACTAATGATTACAGCTTAGACTTTGCAAAGTTAGATAATGGCTTATAGAACACTGATAAACTGAAAATTGTGACTTTCATCTAGCAGAAATGTAAATGAATTCTGTCTAGTAGACAAATAATGCTGTGGTTTTTTGTATTTGCCCTGTAAGAAAATTCTTTCTCTCACTGACTCTGTTCTCAGTCTCACACACCCTCCTCTAAATTAGTCTTGTCATCAAGCTGGGTCCCTCGTTAGACTCAAACAATCTTCGACATGGGCTCACTGTATACTTTAACGTAAGTGTAACAGACCTGAAGGCACCAATAAGGACACTGAAAGACAATTCACAAAGAAGAAATACAAATGGCTCTTACATGTGATAAGAAGTTCCAAAAGAAATGCAGATCAAATCTACAATACTGTTTTCCTCTGTCCAATTGGTAAAAGTTTAAAAATTGGTTAAAATTTACTCTTCATATTTCTGTGGATCGCTTCCCTTTTACTTTGAAGTCTCAGACCCCTCCCCTCTTCTCCTTGGTTCTGGATGACATGTATACCTCACTCTCCCTGACTGTCTTTGGAACCCTTGTCTATAGATTCCCCATATATATATATACTTTTTTTTCTCCTGTTAAAAAATTTTTTTAAATAAACAAACAGTTGGTTAAAGCACTGAGTTAGCAAAGTTTTGAGCCAAGAGGTCCTGCCACAAAATTACTGGTTTAAATATAAACTGGCATAACCTCTTTGGGAAAGCAAAGCTAACAAAATTTAAAATAAGATGCTCTCCAACCCAACAAATCCACTTCTAGAATTTTCCAGCAGTTATACTTGTATAAACTCATAAATTATGCACAATGAGATTAGAACATCTTACTATTTGCCCTAGACAGAAAGCAGAAGCAAATGAATACCGATATGCTTATAATCTAAGAGCAAGTTCAGCAAAAAAGCGAGTGAGCAAACACTTTAGGCTCTGGAAGCCAGAGCCACAACTACTCAACTCCCCATCTTAGCCCAAAGCAGCACCGACTGTGTGTGGACGGACGGGTGTGGCCGCGTCCCAACAGTGCCGCATCTACAGATCAGACAGGATTTGGCGTGACCCCGACCTAACATTCATACAGCACGGACCCAAGTCAACTGAAGACATTTATTAAGAATCTTCTATATGAATGGCAATCTAGATGACACAGGAGATACAAAGATAATAGGAGTGTTGCCCCTGACTTCAAGGTACAAGATGGGAGTTCCCAATCCCAAATATACCTTAAAACTAACTTCCAATATCAAAGCACTATAAAACCAATTTTAGTTGTGTTACCTATATTTAATCTGTTATAAAGAAATCTTAAGACTGTAGTATCTAGAACTAGGTGGGTTTAATCTAAGAAAACCTCTTGAAGAATATAAATTTTAAAATGAAATAATATGAAATAACTATGCTATGGTTAATGAAAATTACAGCTAACACATTTGATGTTATTAGATATGATTATACTTAATTTTGGAAAAATTAACATGATATGAATACTGTCTATGAAAGACAGTTCATACTACTGTTAGAAAAAGAGTTTGGAGGAAAGAAAAAAAGCTAGTTGAAAAACACTTAATGGTAATCCATCCAAGAGTGAAAATTACCAGATTTAGAGTCTCCCACTGTTGATGAAAGTAGACTAACACAACCATTTTGAACAGCTATTTGGGAATATCTATCAATATACAAAGTTTCTAATTGATTGTACAAGTATACAAAAACTTAGATTTTACTGTAACATTATTTGTAATACTGAAAATGTCAAATGAATAGAATGCCTCATCCACTGATAATTAGTTAAGTAAATCATGTACATACATGCAATGGAATATAATGCAGCAGTTAAAAAGAATGGGGGGATCAAAATATATTGACAATGAAAGTTGGTTACAACTACAGTCTTTAAAAGGCCAAGTGCAGGTCGGCACATTCAATATGAAAATTACTTTGCAAAATGTGTTTTGGCTTAGAAATTATGTTCACATGTATGCTTAAATACAGAGAAAGCTGAATTAACAGACATGAAACAGTTTGTTAATTACGGTCACCTCTGGAAGGTATTACTGTTAGGAAAGCAGAGAATGAACATTCATTTTCCACTTCACCCTTCTAGACTGACACTGAAAGCTACTTTTCTAAACAGACATACACACTGCATTTTAGTAAGGATGTGCAAAGGGCCATGAAATTAAGGAAATTCTTTTTTTAAAATTTATTTATTAAGGTATCATTGATATACAATCTTATAAAGGTTTCATATGAGCAACACTGTGGTCACTACTTTCACTCATATTATCAAGTCCCCCCGACACCCCCACTGCAGTCACTGTCCATCAGTGTAGTAAGATGCCACAGAGTCACTACCTGTCTTCTCTGTGCTGTACTGCCTTCCCCATGACCCCCCTACATTATGTGTGCTAATCATAATGCCCCGAAATTAAGGAAATTCTAATGTATCTGGCCATTATGTAAATGAAAAGCAACAACCACTATCAAAGGCCCAGATTCTAAGCTAAGTAACTTTGGATAAATCATTCTTAAATATTAAATATCTTTATGACATATAGTTTAATAAAGACATAAGCAAAGAAGCATTTGAACTTTTTTAAAGCCCCTTTAAAAAACTTAAAAGCTGTACATAATTTCAAATAGTTGATTTTAGCATTAATGACTGACTACAAATTCTATCTTCAAACTGTGTAGTAGGAATATAGATTTTATGTCAAAAATAATCTACAAGTGTATCATTTTAATGGAAATTTAACTAATTGATATAGAATATAATGAGTGACACTGTACAAATGTTAAACAAACACTGCAAAAATAAAACACAAGAAACCTATTTTATTCTGTGACTTTTAAGGAATGGAGCAAAATTCCCAGACTACTCTTGCAGTCTGATGATTCTGACTCATTTCATCTTGTTTACAAATAAAAAACTATCATAAATGTTAAGTCACTTCACAAAACTATCATGAGGCAAAACCAGAATCTAAACTTTCCCCCATCACTATAAACAATGCCTACCTTACATCAAGAGATTATCTTAGATTGATAAGAGGTTAGGGGAGGGGGAGATGTACAAGAAGTCACCATGCCATGTTAAGGACTGACATTACTGTTAGGATCTAAGCCAAATTAACTATACTGGAGGTTCCAAGCTTTGCTTTTTGATAATTCAAAGAGGTAGTAGGAACAAGCATTAATACAGCGTGATTAGTATTTCAGACAATGTAATAAACACTGAATATTATACTAAAAAACTGGTTTCTATTTACTTCTACCAGACATGGCAGGGCACTCATCTCACTATTTAACACATTTGAATGTTTGCCTTGGAAAGGTGTAAAACTCCTAAAAGGAGAGCAGTGTATCCATTTCAGTGTTCTGGCAGAAGTACTCTAGGAATAAATAATTAATCATTCTTGGTGGAGGGTTTAAAGGCCCAATCCCTGCAGTGGCCCACGTTCATTTACATAAAACACCTAAAGCTGAAAGTACACTAGCCCTTTCTTCCTTCCTCTACCCTGATTTTATTCAGTTATTTCTACTTCAACAAAGCCAAACTGAAAGGCCACAAATTTTCCTAAGAAAAAGCCCTGGAGAATACATACAGTAAGAGCACTTATATACATTGGCAAACTTGAGAATCACCAACTGTTTCCATATGATGATATTAAATTGGTGATTTAAAAAATGTTTTTGGAGGGAACCGTCCAAAATGTTGACAGCCTTCTGATATGATGATAACTGCTATGTTATTCTGGCCAAAAGTGCATAAACTGAATCTTCTAAGGAGAAACAAAAAAAATTCAAACTGATGGGAAGTCTACAAAATAAATGGCTTGCATTCTTTGAAAAAAAACCATCAAAGCCATGGAAGAGAAATAATGATCCAGGAGCTGTTCTGATTAAAGGAGACTAAAGAGACAGGACAACTAAATGCAACACATGCTCCGGGATATTTAGGGCCTAGACCAGGAAAAAACGTTCTTTTAATTAAAGGGCATAGTGGCACACGTGCAAACCTGAGATAGTTGGTAGACTGGATAATAGTACTGTATCATATCAAAATTTTCCGGTTTTGAAAACTGTACCATGGCCACATATAAAGGCAGGTCATCTCAAAAGGAAAGACACCCTACAGTATTTAGGGGTCCAAGTGCCTTATGTCTGCATCTCACTCTTACATGATTCAGAAAAAAGAATAAAGTACATATGCACCGTGTGTGTGTGTGTATAATAGAGTATTTATTTTATATTAGAGAAAAGCATACTCGATAGCGAGAAAAAAACAGACAGAATGAACAAGTGCAGTAAAATGTCAACCTTCCAGGAATCTGGGTGAAGGGCTACAAAGGAATACTTCTTTGCAGTATTTTTCAACATCTCTAAGTCTGAAATTAAGAAGATTCTTTTAAAAGTCTACTGTATTTAACAAACTTCAAACCCCACCCACCTATTGCCCTCATCTGAGTAGAGCTGGAGAGACATGGACTGCTGATCTTAATTACTGCTCTTCTTTGCAAGAATGAAAAGGAGAATTTCAATACCACTTAACACACATCATGTCCCCAGCTCCATGATAAGAATTCCCGAGTCATGTGCACCATGAAGATAATACGGAAACAAAGCATGTATCACTCCAACAACTTACGGACTCAAGCAGAAAGGCAGAACCTGCTCTTCTCATTTTATGAGGCAG